CTGTTAAAGGACCTATTGAACTAGCAACTGAAAACGTACCAAAGCCACTTATTGGATTTATGAGGGATTGTTGTTTTGCCATTCAGGTGCGTGCTAATGGAATCCCAATAATAAGATTAGATGACTATAACTTAGCTACGGACGACGGTGAGGAATAAAGGATGAACGTTTATTTTTAAAGCTTATAAATGAGTTCTTCATCAAGCTCTCGTGAACCTTCACCATCTATGAAACAAACTTTACCAAACGATTATGGAGCACCTATTGAATATTTCTTACGAGCTGCACAATGGCAAAGAGCAGTCTCACCAAGGTTAGGTGTTCCACCAGCTCCTGTCAAAAATAGCATTTGGTCAAGTCCTTATATAAGATATGGTCTCCCACTAGGTTTGCTAGCTACAACAGGAGCAGTTATGATGTTGAAAAGAAATAAAGCAAATGTTGTAAATAATACTGAAGTAGCTGAAGTTAAACAAACTCCAACACCTTCGCCAAAACCAACGCCTTCACAAGCAAAACCTTCAATGACTCCTGAACCTATGGAAGTACAAACTCCTGTTCAAAAGTCAACTCCTAAACCGACTCCAACATTTAAACCAGAACCTACTCCTCAAATAAATCGTAAAACTCCTGCGTTTCCTTACTGAAAAAATAACGTTATTTTTATTTAATATTAAAATTTTTATTTGATTGAAATGACAAATAAAGTCACTGAAGCAATGAAACAAAAGTTTTTGGTAGAATACATTAAATCAGGAACTATTCCAGAAGGTTTTTACATTCATACTATGAAGGATGGTAGAGTTCAGTTTAGAAAGATAAAGCAACCATTAGATAGAGAAGGTATATTAAGGAAGATTAAACTTCATGAGGACAACATTGCTGAACTTAAGAAGAAGCTAGAAGAGTTGGAGAAAGGAAGAGAGTTATAAAGCAATGAATTCAACAGGGTGAAAAAACAGGTGAAAAAAGAGGTGAGATCTCACCACTTCACCTAAATTTATTTTTGTGCTATGTTTTCATACGTGTGAGGGTGGTGATATCATTAATTTTTTATTTTATTTTTATATAAATGACGAAAAGTATTGAGATAACAAACTACAACGGTCATGAGTTCAAGAATTTGTTCTTCGTTCCGCGTGAAAATACATTCTATCAGATACGAGGGAGAAAGGGTAAAGTTAGTTTGAGCGTTTATGAAGGAATGAAGAATGGAAAGTTTATACAAGCATACGATACAAACGGTAAACGTGTTTCATTAGCTTTGTCAAAACTTACATACATTTATTTTGACAGTGACTTTGACCTATATGAAGAAGAAAGTGAGTCAGAAGAATATGAACTGTTATGTGAAGCACAGCAATGGGAGGAGTTGCAATACTTTTGTAAGTGAGAACGTTTATTTTTTCATTAGTGAAGTCGTTTGTGAAAACATTAGTGGTTGGCGGCTTTGTAAATATTTAAGGTTAAGTTAGTGTTGTCATTTGTGTTGTAAAATATACGTTAATGGTTTTGTAAATATTTAAGGTTAAGTGGTGTACGGAGGCGCGCAGTGCCTCAGTACACGACTTAACCATACTAACTTATTTTAACTCCCTTTGAAAACCTCAATTTTCCATACAGAGGGAACGGGAATAGCATCCAATATTCCCTGAGAATGGTTGCGCATTCTCAGTTCCCTCTATATTTCGAACGAAGCTCTCATCGGTCTTTTTTTTAAGGATGGGCACTCATTAGGGTGATGAAAAAAATCAAGTCTAGCAAAGTCAATATATTAAAAACAGTGAAGACTATTATATAGCATTATAGTGCACAAGCTCAAATATTTAGTGATGCATTTCTCGAACTTATTTTATTTATAAGTTAACCTTGAAACATGAATTTTAATATATCATGAGCATATTTTTTTCTAATTTTGCAATACTTATAATATCATACCAGGATTCATGTGGAAGTCTAATATTTGGTATATAATATTCTTACAATAAATGTATTAATTCAATTATATTCAAAATGATGGGTCGCAATTTTTACTGAAATTGCAAATTTAATTTCAACAATGAAATTATTGTTTAAAAAAAATAGCACAACAGCAAGATGGACAATCATATATAGAATTATAATGCTCCATATAATGCTTTGATTTGATGCGTATATAATGTTATTTTTCGAACATCTTTGTAAAAAATTGATTTTTGTAATTTTTGAAAAAATTCGATTTTATTTCGAGATTTCCTCTATAGGTGAAGTATATTGAACAATATTCCTATGGGAGAAAATAATTGTAAGTATGAGTACTTTCATTAATACTATGGGTGCCATGGTTATCGCTCAAACGATCAAGTTATATCTCGATTGCGTAAATTGAAATTTTGCTATTTTCTAAATTCACGGCAACAACATTCTTTTATCCTGATCGTACATCACAATATTTGAATGTGCGACCATTTGTTCAAGAAACCGTCAAGTTATTCTTCATTTTTCATGCCGCGGCGAACAAAAGCAGTTGCAAAGCGTATAAAGAACTTAGTTCAAAGCGCGAAAAATAGGGTAGAGCCATATGTCGTCAACACTGTTGAATTTGTGCTATCTGTATTATTGAGCGGCGCTACATTTTGCCAATCAGAATTTCAATTCATGCTGAATAACATCAAAGTTCCGTCAGAAGCTACATTTCATCGAGTCCAAGAAAAGGTTGGTCGTGTTATCATAGAAGTTGCCAGAGAATCTGTTAATTATTGGAAATCTCGAATGAGAAAATGTTCGGGACTTTTGTTTGACGGTTCTTGGAGTCAGAGAAGAAATGCAATGTTTTGCTATGTACAATTTGTAGAAGAGAAACTCAAAAAAATTGTAGATTGGGAAGTGATATCTAAATCTTTTAAAAATTTCAAAGGTAATTTCAACGGAAAATCAAATGAAATGGAATTTGAAGGCTTAAAAAGAATGCTGAAGCGTTGGAATAATGAAAAACGTGTAAATTTTTTTGTGCATGATGGCGATGTCAAAATTGTTTCTACAATCAAAAATACGTTCAAAGGTATCAGAGAATACAGAGATCCTGGACATTTTCTTAACAATATACAGAAAAAGCTCAAACTGCCAGAATTCAGAATCTTATCTAGCATTTCAAAGAATTTATTGCGTTGGCTTAGGCAACTTCTCAATGACACACATATGTCAATTAAAACAAAGAAGTTTTTATGGTTGAATTCCGCTAAACATTATGCCGGAAATCATAAATTTTGTCCAGATCCTGAAAAATGCAAGATGATTAAACCATGGAAATATGCAAAAAATAAAACTGCTATAAAAACACTTAAAAAATTCCTCGAAGATACCGTAAAAATCTTTGATATGGTAAAAAAGATTCATTCAACTCAAGTAGTTGAATCGATAAACCATATCAAAGCAATGCTTGCTAATAAAAATATTAATTGGCATGCTTCTTGGCCAATTAGGATGGCAGTCACAATATTGCATTTCAATGAAAGTATGTTTGAAACGATTGTAGCAATAAGATACAGGTTAAATTTACCAACAATGCCAGAAATGATGAACAGATATTTCAGAATGTATGATACAACAAAAGATTTAATCAAAGCATTCAAAAATTCAAAGCAAGTTCAAAAAAAGTTTGCGGCATTAAGAGCTATAAAGAGAGGTCTTCAAGCTACCGATGATCGTATTACTCTTAAATCACATAAATAATTATTAAATTTATTTCACCCTCAAAACATCATAATCTTGCACCTTCTTTGAATAAACACTTTCACCTTCTATTTTTAATTAATGTTTTTTAATTGTCCAAAATTTTTAGATTATACAAGATATAATTTTTTATAAAAGTATTATTTTCTAAAAGATAAGTATATATTCTTAATCACAAAACCTAGAATTTTATCATTTCTATATATCAGCTTCCTAAATATAATACTCATATAGTTAGTATGATTTTAATGTTTTTGAACATGAAACGAAAATATGATTACAATCATATAACATAATGGAGTTATTGATATAACTTATATGCATGATACATTAAGAAGTCTTCTAACAATATAGATATAGTTGTAGATTCCTATGATTCCTTTTATATTGTGAGATAATAACATTTTTATGCTGTCAGGAGCCTATGAGTGCCCATCCTTAATACTAAACGTTTTTTTCCCCCTGTCACTTTTAGCTAAAATTTGGGTTTGCCAATAATAGAGGATGACTGGGAATAGATAACACAACACATTATAGACATATCCATCGGGAAATTCTGTCTTCGCAAATCAGAAAAATGTTTGATGGATTAATATCGGAAACAATAATAGCCAGAAGAACAAAATGGTAGTCATATCATTAATAAATCTTAGTAGGAACACGTATTACATATAATTTTAATCCATTCTTCAAAAGAAAATACTTCCGATATATGATCATTATTTCATCAGTTGTCAATATATTTTATATCAGTTACACTTAAATCAAAACCATTTGCCCCATTCAAAATCGAAATTTTATTACTCTTTATTTTGCAATTTTTTTATTCCTCCTAGAATATGAAAAACACATATATTTTATTTATATATAACATATAGAAATCATATCTCCAAACTTTTATTAGCTTCTTTTACACAACTTTTTCAAAAATATGACAATTTCTTGATAATTATTCTCCATTTATATACAATTTAATACAAATCCATTATGGGCTAAATGTTATGGTTGAATACGGCCAATGGCAAAGCTTTTTGTTTTCATTTGATTATCATTTTTTTATATACAATACTTGAAATTGAGGAATCAAGCCTTCAAATCATAGTGATGTCAAAACATCCATTATTCCATATATGCAACCTCAATATTTTAATTTGAATTATACTGATCTTGTCTGATCAATCCGCTTTAATATGGAACTATGATTTGATAACTCACAATGAGCAAAACATTTTCAAAAATACCAAATTTAATAAAAGATAATTCTTTACAATCAATAATATATGTGTTATTTAATGAGGCTCTCTTGATGATAGCGTCATTGTGAACGAGGCCTCAACATCTTGTTTGTTCTGTAAACTAACAAAGTAAGTCATTCTATTACCCTTTCCTTTCAAGTAGATTTCACCACGCTCTTCGATTGTGAAATCCAAGTTTTCGATAAGAGCCTTCGTATCACTAGAAATCTGTACGCAACCAGCAATATCCGTTGATTGGAGTCTTGCAGCGACATTGATTGGATCTCCAATAATGTCGAATGTTGGTTTATCTGTACCAAGAACACCACCAATGAGTGGGCCGCCACTGTTTACACCAATACGGGCTTCAAGGGAGGCATTCAATTTCATGTTGATTTCTTCCATTGCTTTAGAACATTGTATGCAGCATCGAACTGCATCTTCAGCATGTTTGTTAGATTTTTCATCCTCTTCTTGGAACAAACCAGCAGCTGCCATATAAACATCACCAATTAACTTGATCTTTGTAATTGAAGGATATTCGGAAACAATCTTATCGAATGTAGCAAATACCAAGCTCAAGTTAGACATGATTTCTGTTGGTGTAAGTGTTGCAGTGTATGCAGAGAACTTAACAATATCAATGAAGAAGATTGTTGCAGATTCAATTGTGAATGAAATATCTGTTTCACCTCTATTGAGTCTTACAACAATACTCTTTGGAAGGATCTGGTAAAGCAACTTTTCTGATTTAGCTTTGGCTGCTTCAGCGTCTGCTCTTTTCTGGATTTCTTCTGTTTCATTGGAAAGAATGAAAACAATTGACTTGATTTCTGATGAATTATCATTATCTTTCATTCCAATCATTGTGATTGTGAATGGAACTGATGCATTGTTATCATTAACAAGTTCGATATGATCTTCCCAGAATGCTGATCCTTGACCACTCATCATTAAATCAATTTGGGATGTCAATCTGGCCTGATCCTTTGCAGAAACAAAGTTTGCAATTTGCTGTCCTAACAGTTGATCTGGTGTTAACCCAATATTATCTGTTACACTCTTGTTAACAATTTCAATAACAGAGTTTTGATTTGTGATGATAATGCATTCGCTAGCATCATGGATAATTGATTTGGATGTAGACATTTTATCTTTATCACCTTTCTTCTTCTTTCCTGTGAAGAACTCAAGAATTTCTGGTGTATCTATAATAGTTTGTGGTGGTAAATGCTGTAACATCATTAAAAGAACTCTGTAATTCTGAATAACAAAGTCTCTGAAATACCATGGCAATGTGAAAATAACAACTAAACAAACAGCACCGATTGATATGAATAATATCTGTAAATTCATGTCTTTGTCATACAAATTTTCCATAACATCTGAAATTCTCTTTGTTGCACGCATAACATTTGGATATAAATGGAATCTCAGGTTGTGCGCTATATTTGCAGGAATTTCATCCTTAAGGATGGGCACTCATAGGCTCCTGACAGCATAAAAATGTTATTATCTCACAATATAAAAGGAATCATAGGAATCTACAACTATATCTATATTGTTAGAAGACTTCTTAATGTATCATGCATATAAGTTATATCAATAACTCCATTATGTTATATGATTGTAATCATATTTTCGTTTCATGTTCAAAAACATTAAAATCATACTAACTATATGAGTATTATATTTAGGAAGCTGATATATAGAAATGATAAAATTCTAGGTTTTGTGATTAAGAATATATACTTATCTTTTAGAAAATAATACTTTTATAAAAAATTATATCTTGTATAATCTAAAAATTTTGGACAATTAAAAAACATTAATTAAAAATAGAAGGTGAAAGTGTTTATTCAAAGAAGGTGCAAGATTATGATGTTTTGAGGGTGAAATAAATTTAATAATTATTTATGTGATTTAAGAGTAATACGATCATCGGTAGCTTGAAGACCTCTCTTTATAGCTCTTAATGCCGCAAACTTTTTTTGAACTTGCTTTGAATTTTTGAATGCTTTGATTAAATCTTTTGTTGTATCATACATTCTGAAATATCTGTTCATCATTTCTGGCATTGTTGGTAAATTTAACCTGTATCTTATTGCTACAATCGTTTCAAACATACTTTCATTGAAATGCAATATTGTGACTGCCATCCTAATTGGCCAAGAAGCATGCCAATTAATATTTTTATTAACAAGCATTGCTTTGATATGGTTTATTGATTCAACTACTTGAGTTGAATGAATCTTTTTTACCATATCAAAGATTTTTACGGTATCTTCGAGGAATTTTTTAAGTGTTTTTATAGCAGTTTTATTTTTTGCATATTTCCATGGTTTAATCATCTTGCATTTTTCAGGATCTGGACAAAATTTATGATTTCCGGCATAATGTTTAGCGGAATTCAACCATAAAAACTTCTTTGTTTTAATTGACATATGTGTGTCATTGAGAAGTTGCCTAAGCCAACGCAATAAATTCTTTGAAATGCTAGATAAGATTCTGAATTCTGGCAGTTTGAGCTTTTTCTGTATATTGTTAAGAAAATGTCCAGGATCTCTGTATTCTCTGATACCTTTGAACGTATTTTTGATTGTAGAAACAATTTTGACATCGCCATCATGCACAAAAAAATTTACACGTTTTTCATTATTCCAACGCTTCAGCATTCTTTTTAAGCCTTCAAATTCCATTTCATTTGATTTTCCGTTGAAATTACCTTTGAAATTTTTAAAAGATTTAGATATCACTTCCCAATCTACAATTTTTTTGAGTTTCTCTTCTACAAATTGTACATAGCAAAACATTGCATTTCTTCTCTGACTCCAAGAACCGTCAAACAAAAGTCCCGAACATTTTCTCATTCGAGATTTCCAATAATTAACAGATTCTCTGGCAACTTCTATGATAACACGACCAACCTTTTCTTGGACTCGATGAAATGTAGCTTCTGACGGAACTTTGATGTTATTCAGCATGAATTGAAATTCTGATTGGCAAAATGTAGCGCCGCTCAATAATACAGATAGCACAAATTCAACAGTGTTGACGACATATGGCTCTACCCTATTTTTCGCGCTTTGAACTAAGTTCTTTATACGCTTTGCAACTGCTTTTGTTCGCCGCGGCATGAAAAATGAAGAATAACTTGACGGTTTCTTGAACAAATGGTCGCACATTCAAATATTGTGATGTACGATCAGGATAAAAGAATGTTGTTGCCGTGAATTTAGAAAATAGCAAAATTTCAATTTACGCAATCGAGATATAACTTGATCGTTTGAGCGATAACCATGGCACCCATAGTATTAATGAAAGTACTCATACTTACAATTATTTTCTCCCATAGGAATATTGTTCAATATACTTCACCTATAGAGGAAATCTCGAAATAAAATCGAATTTTTTCAAAAATTACAAAAATCAATTTTTTACAAAGATGTTCGAAAAATAACATTATATACGCATCAAATCAAAGCATTATATGGAGCATTATAATTCTATATATGATTGTCCATCTTGCTGTTGTGCTATTTTTTTAAACAATAATTTCATTGTTGAAATTAAATTTGCAATTTCAGTAAAAATTGCGACCCATCATTTTGAATATAATTGAATTAATACATTTATTGTAAGAATATTATATACCAAATATTAGACTTCCACATGAATCCTGGTATGATATTATAAGTATTGCAAAATTAGAAAAAAATATGCTCATGATATACTAAAATTCATGTTTCAAGGTTAACTTATAAATAAAATAAGTTCGAGAAATGCATCACTAAATATTTGAGCTTGTGCACTATAATGCTATATAATAGTCTTCACTGTTTTTAATATATTGACTTTGCTAGACTTGATTTTTTTCATCACCCTAATGAGTGCCCATCCTTAAGGCTACCTCCAAATGATTCTGGTTTTCTGAGGACTTCTGTAACCATGTTCTTGAACATTTGGAATTGTTGATCTAAACCCGAGCAAGCATACATATCATGTAATGTAACTGGACTTCTTCCTAGATCGCAAACGTTTCTTATTTGCAATCCATCTAAAGTATCATCATAACCAATAATTCCAGAAATATCATCATTACCATATAACAATTCTTTATTTGTCGTTATAAGCTTATCTAAATCCGATGTAGCTTTAGTTAACAAAGCTGATCTGTTTGTTATTTTGTTTGGTAATGATTCATTTAACATAACAATTTGAATAACGGTGTTACCAATTTGTGATGACATTGTAATTCTTGTGCATGAATAATAGAACCATTTAAGGCATTTTGTCATTGTATCATTCAATTGGAGAGTTGTATAGCAAAGGCCAATGTATGATCCAACGCAGATAAACAAGAATAAGAAGAAGAAACGTGGTAAAATATCCATGATGTTTGAAGTTGCAACCTTAGTTTGTGAGCTTAAATCTTGGATAGGTTCTGAATCGATCATTAATGGCTTCTTTGCTTCTTCTTTAGTTTGCTGTGGTAATGCTAATAATACTTTAATGAGTTTGTCAACCATGTAGTTGTATGTTTGAATAATTATAACAGCTGGTGTTGAAATTGTGAAGAAAATCATTAATGCGCCAACAATCATCCAAGCATAGATTTGTGGCTTATAAGCTGAGGCTTTCTTAATGTTGAAATTCAAAATCGAATTGAATGCAATATCAGCATTTGTTGCTAAAATCGGAAGGTTGGCTAATATTTGGCAGTAATCATTAGAAGTATAAATGTTGTCTGTATACCAACCTTGGTTATATTGACCTGCAATAGTATTCGACATGAAGTTTGTTACAAGAATTTGAACCTTTAATGAACATGGAATTGCGTAGTCTGGAGATGCTTTGTCGCATACTTTAAATTGAGAAGTTGTTCTTAAGAAAACAAATGCATAATCATATGGATTGTTGTCTTCTGCAATTACTGCAATGTTATCTAAGAGTTTCCTCAGATAGTTTCCGCTTTCCGTCAGACAGTAATATGTTTTATGCTCTAATGTCCATTCTGATGGCAATAAAGTTATAACATTTCCTTTATCAATAGTTATGTTTCCTAAAACAGCATCACTTGTGCTTGCTCTTCCTGTTGAAACAGCAAACTTTGAACTTGTGTAAACATTTGCATAAACAGCATAGAAAACAGCATATGCAGCATTTGCAATATCATCATAACTTGATCTTCTCCACTTTAATGAGGATCTAATGTATATAAAGTAGCCGATATAGAAGAATAAAATAACAAATACATCTACAAATATATTTCCAACAATAACTTTGTATTGTATTGGTTTTGTATCCATAATTGAATGGTGGAATGCTAATCTGACTTTTGAATCTCTGAGTATCTTCTTGCAAACCATTTCTGCTCTTTCAATATCAACTGATTGAGATGAGTTAGACGTTCCCTTAGAGCTGGCTTGCGATTTACTATCTTTGGATGAAGATCCTTTGTCATGAGCTGTTCTTTTAACTCTTCTTCCTTGTGTATCTAAAATTTTATCCTTCAAGAATCTTGGGAATTTGTTAACAACACTTCTGAAGCTGACATCGACATTGAAGTTGTGTCCATCCCCAATAGATTCTGCCTTTATCTTTTCCTTTACAGCTTGATCGAAATCACATTTGCATTCAGCTAAGAAGTCTGCGTATTCGTTTGTGAATCTCAAGTTGTTTGGATTTCCGCTTAATGAGGCTTTGAAGAAATCATCAATATCATTGATCATGATACTCATACTTGAAAGGAAAGCATTGTTTGACTCTTGTTTGTCCCAAAATGATTTGATAATTGATTTGCAAGCATCGTTTTTGGCTTTCAATTTATTGTATAGTTCTAAAGTATCTTTTGTATCTGAAACTAAACGTCTCATCTTGATTCTGTAAACCTGATAGATTAAGAATCTATCTGTTACACTAAGTTTTCTCTTTGCCACAACTTTCTTGTATAAAACATCCATTTTTCTTGATTCTGATGGGAAGAATGTGACAATTTGTAACAAAATTGAAAGGGTTGAGTCTAAAGTTCCATCATTGACAACAAAGTCTGTTAATGAGCCATCAATGAAGAGATCGCATAATCTTGCAAGTCCAACAACAATATACATCATTACACGTTTTGGATTTCCTGTGAATTTCAATGTTGACAAGTATTCTTGAGCGTTTGTGAATTCTTCACTATATGTTAATTCTTTTTTGATCTTATTGACTTTCCAGATGTAATAGAATCGGCAAATGATATACCCACATACTAATACACCAATAAATACGAAAATTGTGTAATTATAGGTGAGTTTTGCAAAATATAAGATATAAAAGTTGATATCTAAAGCTACAGCTGTGAAACCGAAGGACATACATATAGCATTACGCCAAACTTCATAAAATGGGATGAATGCCATACGATAAATGACGTAAACATTGATTAATAAATGAATTGCACCGCCAATGCAGTACATCCAGTCATCGAAGAATTGGAGGATTGCAGAGACAACTGAAAACGCAGATGTAATTGAAACCCATATAGTAATTGGGAAATGATCGAATAATGGGAATGTTAGATTTGATAATACGACAGATCGTGTCTTAAGTGAAGTACTAAGAACGAAAGTGAAGAGTAATGAGGCATATGCAATGAATCCAACAATGATTTCAACTACAAAGTTCATGTTCTTTTCAACGTTTAAACCAGTGATACCATGATTCATGACGAAAGCACTTGGAATGATGAAAAGAGGGTCAATAACGTCAAATATTACTGTCGATAGATAGAGATAAGGAACCGGAATGTAATATTTCTTTGTGTTCATTAATCTCATAATGCATGTCCAGAAAAAGGAAAAGGCTGCAATGCCAATTGAGACGCCCATTATAGGGAAGATAGGCTTTGAATAGTCATCCGTATTCTCAAATGTGAAAATTTCAAGTACAACCTCGTACAATTTGGCCCAATGCCCGCTGACTCTTTGATAGATAGGTGTGTATACCCAAAAACCGACTGACAACATTTGACAAAGCATGAAAACAGCAATCAAACTCATGAACCATGCTGGGAGTTTGGCATGCTGCATCATCTGGTCGAAAAGGGGGAAGATTCCATCAAGTTGTCCGGCCTTTCCTTGGGATAATTGTGCAAGATCCTTTTGGCTTTGACTGGTGCTAGATACAGACTTGCTGACCTGGCTTTCAGTCATTTATTGAGTTTTTTTGTGAGACTTTTTTAAACTTCTTTCAAAAACGTTTTGGTTCTTATTCAAATTTAGAATAATCATTCAAAGTCTTTTGAAAAGAAAATAAATCAATCAACATATATAGTACATTTAAAATGTACAACAAAAATAAATAGGAATGTTATTAAAATCATTGCCATGAATTCAATTTTTATCACAGTGAAAACATATACGATAATATTTCATATCAATGTAAATGTATTAAGATATTCTATCTTCGGTATGAGACAAATTTTGAATACAATTGTTTCATTTGTCCTATAAATGATGTGTGAACCATGAAGATAATTTCTTTCGTCAAGCAATCAATAAAATCATATTGAATTGAATATCTGTTAGATTTTTATATTTATATGATGAGAACTAATAGAATATTATTAACCAAATACTTTTTCAGAGATTCGTATTTTTATTCAATTTATTTTATTTGTTTTTCAAAAAATAAAACTCTCTTTGAAATCTTCTCAAAATATTTGTCCACCTGTAAAATTCCTGAATGAATCGGCACTGTGCTACAATAATTTCATAATTAAACCTAACAAGAATTTTCGGGAAATTGTGAAGACATCTAAAATTTTTCAGAGCGTCTATCGTGCGATATTTTATCATTCTTCAATTTATATTTATTCGGAGATTTTATTTAGCAATTAAACTGTATACACTTTAGTGATAATTCTTCAGTTATCAGTAGGAAAATTTACTGATTGTCAAATTGAAGCGAACAAATTTTGTGAACTATTTTAAAAATCATTAATAATCAATAGACATATATTTTTTATATGCATTTTTAAAATTTTGTTCGTTTTTTTATTTTGCATTTCCAACAATTGACAATAACTACGTATAGCTAATCGTATTTAAATAGAATTCAATGCGACTTCATATTTCTACTATTTTTAGTCCAATATTATCATTTTAACCGTTTGGATTTGTTATTGCCAAAAATTCTTCAAAATAAGCAGGATATTCATTTCATACAGTTTGGAAATATCTTTTTTGTTGAACCAGCAAAATATTGAATTTCAAAATATGAAAAAATTATATTTGATGAGTTATGAGTCATCATCAATCTAAAAACCATATTCTTATCATACTATTGCTGGTCAACGTATTGATTTCAAATGAATGTTTCGATCTATCTTATGAAATTTAAAAATCCATTTTTAGATTCCAAAATTCCATAGAAAATACTAATGCTTTATTTTAATTCATCATGGAAAAAAAAAAAAAAAAAAAAAAGGGAGTGGGGCTTCCAGGCACTTCGTGCCCTCTAGCCCTGAAGATGTTTAGTATAAATGAAGTTTTTATTCGGAAAATTGTTAGTCTTCTTGGTCGAAAACATTATATAATGTTTCACTTTTCACAAATTATATATGTTTTCATGTTTTGTCAAGACTTCTTCTTCGTAAATGTTTTGTCAAGACTTCTTCGTAAATGTTTTGTCAAGACTTCTTCGTAAATGTTTTGTCAAGACTTCTTCGTAAATGTTTTGTCAAGACTTCTTCGTAAATGTTTTGTCAAGACTTCTTCGTAAAGACTTTGTTAAGACTTCTTCGTAAAGACTTTGTTAAGACTTCTTCGTAAATGTTTTGTCAAGACTTCTTCGTAAATGTTTTGTCAAGACTTCTTCGTAATGAGTGTAAATGACCAAAAATAATGTTTAGGTGAAGAGGTGAGATGTCACCTGTTTTCTCACCTCATTTCTCACCCGTTGAATTTTCATGAAATTTACACCAAAAATAATGTTTAGGTGAAGAGGTGAGATGTCACCTGTTTTCTCACCTAATTTTTCACCCGTTGAATTTTCATGAAATTTACACCAAAAATATACTACTAGGGTCATTTACGAAGAAGTCTTGACAAAACATTTACGAAGAAGTCTTAACAAAGTCTTTACGAAGAAGTCTTAACAAAGTCTTTACGAAGAAGTCTTAACAAAGTCTTTACGAAGAAGTCTTAACAAAGTCTTTACGAAGAAGTCTTAACAAAGTCTTTACGAAGAAATTCATGAAAATTCAAGAGGTGAGAAATGAGGTGAGAAAACAGGTGACATCTCACCTCTTCACCTAAACATTATTTTTGGTCATTTACACTCATTACGAAGAAGTCTTGACAAAACATTTACGAAGAAGTCTTAACAAAGTCTTTACGAAGAAGTCTTGACAAAGTCTTTACGAAGAAGTCTTAACAAAGTCTTTACGAAGAAATTCATGAAAATTCAACGGGTGAGAAATGAGGTGAGAAAACAGGTGACATCTCACCTCATATGTCCTTACTGAAAAAGTATGTGTTCCATCTGTCAAAAACCGCTTTTTAACTTCACTTAAAATGCCACGTAAGCTACGTAAGAATATACGTAAGAGGAAGAGAGCATTGAAACATCCAATAGTAAAACTAACACCACAACAACAATTGCAACAACAAATTATGAATGACCCCACTATGTTGCAACAAATGTCAAGCAACCCTATGCTTTTAAGCCGAGTTATTGGTGCACAGAGTGGAGGTTTAAGAGCGGCACTTTTAGCGAAAATGGCAGGCTATGGTGGAGCTGCAGACGGAACAGCCTATAACCCTCAAAGTCAAATGAATTTGAGTTCACTCAAAAATCAAATAACAGATGTCAAAAAGTCAAACATAGACATACAGAAGCAAATAAGTGAAAACGAAAAGAAACTAGAATATGACAGACACACAAAGAAACTCAATGAGTTAAACGTAGAGAAAAAGAAGAAAGAAGAACAACTGAAAGAACTAAGTACAGAGGAATATGCGAAAAAAGTGTCAGAAAAAGCAGCAGAAGTAGCAAAAATGGAACAAGATGTCATAAATTTGAAAAACCATACTACTCAATATAAAGTACTGAAAGATGAAGAAATAAAACAAAAAGCCCTGAAGACATATATGGATAGCGATGAGTATAAAAAAGAAGTTGAAGCAAATGTAAAGGCAGAAAAACTTTTACAGTTGCAAAACCAAACCGTACAGTATGAAAACTTAGCACAAGAAAGTAAAAATAACGACGCAGCCATGCAAAAGGCAATGAAAAGCGCAGAATATATAAAAGCTAATAATGACTGCTGTTAGATGCCCAAGCCAACGCTAAAGCAGCCCAACTCATAGGGTCAATAAGGACAAAAATACAAGCGGATGAAGACAGTTCAAATGAAGCTTTAACAAATGCTGACTTTAAGAACGCTTTCGAAGCTCTTCATAGTAAGGTGAAACAAGTGAACGACTTCTCATCTGGAAAGAAACTGAAGTCTGAAGGTTTCGACAAAGAGTTAAAAGAAGTAGCACAAAAATGACGAAAATAACAGATGCAGCAACGAGACAGGCAGTTCAAAGTGCCTATGACGCCGTTGAGCAACTGTTGTGAAAAGTCAAGAAAAAGAGTTACAACAGACCAAAACAGACCTAGTAAATGCTTTCTTAAAAACGAAAAGTCAGGTAGGACATTACGCTGCAGATGGAACATATGTGCCAGCTGGTGGAACTTATATACCACCAAACCCTCCAAGAGAAGCACCTGCACCAGGACTACCTAGAACATTTACATCGTCACATGGACACAGACACAGGCATGCACAACAACCAGCACAACAACCACCTCCACAACCAGCACAAACCAACACAACAACCAGCACAGCAACCAACAGTTCAAAACCCTGCACAACAACAACCACAAACAGAGCAAGGACATAAAAGAAGTAGAGAACAAGGAAACCAAGAATTCTTAAAAATGCTTAAAGAAGAGTGTGGTTTCCCAGATACTGTTGACTTTAGTGACAGATATAAAGAAGCTATTGGAAAGTTCAAGGATGGAAATACTGACCCGAACCTATTTAGCTTTATGGCTCAGCACCAAAACGGATATAATCTCAAACCTGGAAAATACAAGCTCGCTAAGGGATATGATTTAATAGCATATCATCCAAATGACATGGATGAATTTACTCCGAGATATTTGATGTCAGAGCTAAATGACAATTCAACTTTCGTCATGAAACGCGTAAAAAATAGAGACGGAACGAAAGAACAAAAGCTTATGAATGCGGATGACGTAGATAGGGAAATTGTTGAAAACGGTCTCGGAATATATGAAATGCCAGCAGATGAGGTACAAGAAACTCCACAGGAAGAAGTTCAGATACAACCAGACATGGAAGAAATAGTTCAGCAACAACAGCTAGAAGAGCCTGAAGGAAACGAACAAGTCCTTCCTTTGGAAACTAACTTCACAGAACTAGATGAAGATTTGGAACAGCCGAAAAATCTTGACCCTCAACAAGAGTATGCGGAGAATATGGAATATTTCCAAGAGTCTAAAAAAAATTCGGCTGACATAGTAGAAGAATATCGAAAAATGTTTGCCGACATACAAAAGACTCCAACACCAGATGAAAATATTCAGCATAGAATGGAAGTACTGAAAGAAAATGTACACAAATACAACAACCCTTTTTACTTACGAGCATTTAACGTTCAATCTTCGGATGAACTCGGTGAAAATAAAAGGTTAAATTTCAAGAAAACATATAGAAATGAAACATTGTTTAAAGTTCATTCAGAACCTAACCAAGATGGAAACAAACCTACTTTTGTTTCTGCAGACGATGGAACTACAATGAGATGGGGTCATAAAGCTAATCCGGATAGGTGGTTATAAACTTACAACCACAATTCCAAGAAGTTGTAGACGCAATGGAATTGAATGGTGAACCAGATATAGCTGGTATTTTCAGCGCGGCTTTAATGCCATTGAAAGATATGAAACATGCAGATATTTTGGACCAGTATGAAATGAACATGGCTGATGGAAATATAACACCTGACGTTCTAGAGACATTTATCTCAAAGAACTACACAGAACCATAGAGATGGTATATTTGGTGAAGAGTTTAGAAAGACAGTTAGGGAGAGAGAGGAAGAGAACCTATTGTACATGACCTTGCAAATGAAAGTTTGCAAAATGTCATAAAAACTTACTTTGCAGACAATGAACTGAGAAGGGATGAATATTTAAGAAAACTCAAATTGACAGTACCAAATGAAATGTTAGTATTGAAAAACATGTTCCTTGACAAAATAAAACCAACTACAGAAATAAACGACGCAAGACTGAAAGATTGGGTAAAAGCTTTCCCATTCACAAAAGATATAGTTGGTAACATGGAAAGAAAACCAGAATGGCTACAAAAACATATATTTGGAAACGAGCTTATTCCATATGGACAGGCACTGTTTGAAGCGCTTGAACCGGAAACTCAGGAAAGAGTCATGCAAACAATACGCGAAGACTCAAATACAGACTATGACAAACTCTTTCTAGATATAGGTTACCTGAGATGGGCGACCAGAGCCAAAAGGCAAAAAGGACATGGGAAATTTGCAACATACTAGATGAACATAATGCAAAGATGCAACAACTTCAAGCAGAGGGCAATGAAGGAAAAAGAAAGTTAAAAACTCAGTCAGGAAGAAAGTAAAGCTTGGTCGGAGTGGGTTCTATTATGACATATAAATCCAACTAATATTTTTTATCATATGAAATGACCGGCTCAGAATATAACGCCAACAGTTTTGGATGCCATGAATGGAAATGTTTCCGAATGGTATAACGAATGCGACAATGCCATTAGAAGGTCAGAAATAGTTCCTGGAACTTACGAATATACAACTGCTGTTTCTTATGGAAACGTAGGTGAGTTTGGAGAAGGTTCTTCAACAACAGTAGATATTGCTTGCGACAGGTTTCATATAATTTCTATTGACAACTCTTTCTTATACGTGGAACAAGACATTGAAATAAAACCTTCTGCCAAGTTGTCTGACAAAAGGTTGCAATGGAATTTTCTATGTCGGATACCAATATGCTCCAGAAGTTTTCATGGGATATAAGATATATTCTAACTCTGACTTAGTTCAAACAGTAACATGGGCAAACTATGAATGGTTCGCTTTGAGAAACTCAGTACACCCACAAGCTAGAGAACAAACAGACCAGTATGCAACTATTGAGAAAATAAGAAGACTTGACCCTAACGTTCCAGGAGTTTTATGTTAACCTTCTGGTTCAGATGGAAATGCTGTCACTAAGTAAAACTGAACTTAGAGTTCCTTTGTCATCTTTTCCTCATCTTCAGGTTTTTAAGATACTTGCCAAACTGGGCAGGAAAAATTTCTATTGAACTTACTCCAAGCAAAAATAACTTAGTCATTGCACCAACACAAGACCCATTCACTATTACAGACGTAAAGGGAGCAAATCAACGTCATTCGCCGAATTTTGCAAAGACAAAGTTGACTTAGACTTTGGTTTCTCAAACCTCAACACTGAAGTAAACTATTTTTCAATGCTGCTGGAACTGCTTGGGACCCAGTTAAGTTCACATGCGAAAAATTTGAATGCAAGAGAATAGAAAGCAGACTTGCAGTCTATATGTTGGACCCAGATATTTCAAATGCTTTAGCTGCCAAATATATTGCAGTTCCACTTATGTTCCCTATACACCAAATATCTGTCAAAGACTTTGCAGGTGAAGTTTGGAAACCAAAGTGCTGACCCAGGTGCAAGAACAGATATTGCTTTAACAATGCAATGAAACTGCAGATACTATGTTTGTACTGTTCAGACGAACTATAAATGACTATTCTTGTTTCTACAACCCTGGTATTAAATACCATATAAACATAGATGGCAAATACTATCCAAGAGAAGAATATTCTACAGTTGAGGATATGAGGTCATACAACTTGACATTAGATGCTATGAACTTTAACAACAACTTCACAACAACCATAACCCTGAAATGCAAAGTTCTATTATGCCATATGTGAAAGTATGGACTCATACAGGAGGTCAAAAACACTCAATATACAAATGGAGACCGTTCAAACTTTTGGCTTGGCATTCCATTGCTGACTCAGAAGACTTTATGGGTGGTATTTCAACTGTTGGTACAGTTCAAATACAATATACTGGTGACAGAGACGGTCCAGATGAATTGAAGCAAAGAAGTTTACAAAACCAATAGCACTTTTCACGGAAGATGCTCTTTTGAAGATCGTTCGATGAAACCTGCTGGGGCTCCTCAGATTGGTATAACGACAGCTTCCATCGAGCAGATTTTGGCAGCAGGTCAGTAAGTTGTTCTTGAACTGACTTCTCTCCGTCAAATATTGACAGTACGCCAGTTTGATATAATATTGTATTAAAAACTTACCTTTAGAAATATCTGTAAGTTTTGTTGTTATATTTTTGTCAACGTCAAGAACTTTCACCATCTCGGTTATACCAACTTTCTTTGCTTTTAGAAAATATTTTGGTTCAGCAAAGACTGCTATTCTATAACATTTTCCATTGTTTGTATAAAGAAACTATTTATCAATGAACTTGTATTGTTTGTGTGTGTAAACTTTGTTCTGCTTCAATTCGAAGAGATACTCAATACGTCCATCTTTTATTCTAAGTAAAATGTCATTTCCGAAAAATAGAAGCGTAAGTGTTTCAAAAGGTTTAATGGCGATGGCAGATGTGAAGTTAAATTCACCAACTCAAACAAAACAGTCAAGTGTTGTTGTCAATGTCAAAGACAGAGATGTTGAAGTGGGGAAACCATACGAAGAGAAGATGGATACAATAGTTCCTGTAAAAGAACCAACATATCCTGAAGTTAGCAGAGACTTAAGTTCTGTTGCAGATATCGAAATGACTACCAACAACTTAAAGACAAACTTAAAACTCAGGAAAGATTTGTCAGGCTTTGGGTATATATGTTAAACTTGGTTGAGCACAACCCTGTAAAAGTGAACTCATATTCATCGCACCTCATGAAATTGAAAGAACTATTGAAACTTTTGACAGAGGCAGACGATATAAACATCAAAGAAATAGAACCCGACATTGCTTGCTGTGGTTGTTCATACAATGTCATTGACAAGATATACGTTATGAAAGGAGGTGAAACGTTGAACTTAAAATATAGTTTCCAGACGTCATAAAAATATTTGACGACCACAAACATTTCATTAAAATTTACTTGCTAAGTAAATGGCAGAAGACATAGTGTTTATACTATTACGACTAAAAACCCTGAGTCATATAATTCTATAACAACAAACTTACAAAGTCCTCAAGGACGATATTGTAAACTGACCTTAACACGATGACGACTAAAGCCTGTTTTGCTCTTTTGACACCAGAAGACTTTGTTGTTGTGAATGGTAAAAAATACTCCTTTGAAGATACTTACTCAGATATACCACCAACAGGTTTTGTTGACTTATTTAATACTTTAAGGACGGATGTAACATGTGCTGCAACTAGAGCAGGTTTCATTATGTTTGGATGTCCGACTGAGTTTAGTATAAACGATATGAGCTATAATACAAAACTTATTTCTGGTTTTTACTACCAACAGTTTCCTATAACAGGAAAAGGTGTCATACAAGGAATGTCTGTTCCATTGACTTTAAGTACACCTATTTTATATATTGTTTCAAACTTAGGTTCAAAGTGCTATTCGAATGTTGACAGAAACTACTATGACCAAAAGATACTCATGCGTATAAACAACACTTTCTCTGCTGGTTTGCCTATTGTTCATTCGAATGCAGAGTTTTCAGCTTTAGTAAACTCAAACACTTTAGCAAACATAAACTTAACCTTAGTTGACGCAAACTTTGTTCCTGTAAAACTTTTATGTCCTATGTATTTGTCAATGACGGCAGAAAGTTTCGAATTGGAAGATGCAACTGGTGAAAGTATTGTACTACAAGAACAACTTCAACAACAAATAGCTCAAGAACAACAAATGGAACAAATGCAACAACAAAGTCAAGAATAAAAAAATATTTTTTTTATTTTTATAAAAATGTACAGAATAGATGTCTCAGATTTTTATGACTTCCAAGCATTCAGAAATATGTGTCCATTTCGAGACTATAACAAAGCAGTCGAGAATTTGAAACGTTTAGTCATTTATGTTGACTCTGCCCCAGAATGTTATGTCATGAAAGAATGGGATGTAGTCTTTAACAAACCTAAAGCGACAATAGTTTCAGAACAAGAATGTAGACAGAAACTTAAGAAAATAAAAGTCGTACAAGTTGGTATGAAGATGTTAGATGCTTGGGATATCTTATTGTCAAAGTTAGAAGATTTTTCAGTTCGAGGTATAAAGTTTTATACACCTTCTCCAAACTTCTATTCTATCTTCACTGGATATAAATATGAACAAGTAGAATGGAAAGAAAATATTATAGAAGCTTGGTTAGACCATGTCAAAGAAATTATATGCAATGGAAACGAAAAGGTTTATGAGTATATCTTATGTTGGTTTGCAAACATCTTACAACATCCAAGTGCTAAAAATGAAACTGCTCTCATTATAATTGGAAAACAAGGAACAGGTAAGAACACATTCTTTACAGATATTTTGTGCAAACTGTTAGAGGGCTATTCGAACCCTAATATGACAAACTTAGAAAACATCTGCGGTAAATTTAACTCTTCAATAGAGAATATGAAACTTATAGTATGTAACGAACTTCAAAGTATAGATACAACAAAAGTTTTGAACTCAGATGCTTTGAAGAGTCTTATAACAGACAAAGTTGGAGTTGTTGAAAGAAAATATAAAGACCAAAGAGTTTGTGAAAATGTTGCAAACTTCGTTATGGTTTCAAACAATGCTGTTCCGATGAAGTTAGAAAGTTCTGACAGAAGATATGTAGTTGTCAGAACGTCAGAAGCTCATATGCAAGATACAGAATATTTTGACGCTTTGTCAGAAACTTTGACATCTGACTTTTACAACCACTTGTTCTCATATTTTATGACATTAGATATTTCAAAGTTCAATCCAAGACAAATTCCACATACCGAAGAGAGACAAACATTGTTAGAAGCAAACAAGAGTGTATATGAACTGTTCATAGATGAAACTGACTTTGAGTGTTTAGATGAAAGGTCATTGTACGATTCGTATAAACAATATTGTCAAGAGTATGGTTATATGACAGCGTCTAAACGTACATTCTTGGCAAATGTCAAAAATCTTTTAGATGTTCAGAATGATGTATATACAAAGAAAAATTTTTCTGAGTAAATTTTAAAAAAAAAATTTTTTATCCGATAGAAAAAGATGGCAAAATTCATCTCAGTAAACAAGTACATGACAGAAGTCAAAGAAGAACTAGACCCATTCGCTTATTTGAATGTTTACTTCTACCATTTTGAAAAGTCTACATTTGACAAAGTTTGGAACATCGAACCAGTTAAGTTTGCTATTGTGACTAAAAATGGTGCGAAATTTGAAGACTTAGACATAGAAGGTTTGTTAACAGTCAAAGAAAGTTTTGACAGAAGGTTTTCAAACCTTAAAGAAGGCAAAGCATACAAACTTGTTATACCTTATGAACCAAAGAAAGCAGACGACTATGAATATTATGAGTCTAAGATAGTTGAAGTTCAAGGTAAATTGGGTAAAAAGATTTTAGAGTCTAAACCAGTGTTTGCTCCTAAAGAGGAAGAGAACATTGACATTGACCCAGAAATGTTCTAAAAATAAAATTTTATTTTTACATGTCAAATTTCTTTTTCTCTGGCTCTGGTTCTTTCTTCTCTTCTTCTACTTTCTTTTCTTTCTTCTCTCTCTTCTTCTTCTTCTCTGGTGGAGTTATGTCAAATTTGGCGCAACCATATTTATGTAAAAGTTCTTTGTCCTTTAATAGCTCATCTATTCTGTTTTCTATTTCATCTTCAAGAACGGCGCATGTGTCTTCTTTGCATTCTAAGAAATTTTGTTGGACTTCATCTTTCCAATCGGCGTCATCTCTGTCAACAAGTCTGTCATTGACAAATTTTAAGACTGCTCTGCTTAATGTTTTATGGTTCTTGTCATATTCCCAGAAACAGAACTTTAGAACAAATTCACCTTTCTTGTTTACACTATGTAAGATTTTATGGTCGACAGATGTTTTGCTGTCAAAAAGTTTGTCTCGAATATAGATAGCGAAATCGCTAGACATTTTCAAAAAGATAAAAATTTTAATTTTTCTAAAAATATGTTAGAAAAAAAGTTTGCTGACATTGACAAGAAATTGAGAATGTTTTAAACAAGAACAAGAGGAAGTTAGAAAATGCTCAGATAAAACCTATACATGACAAGTTCTTATTTGCTCAGAATGGTATAACAGGTCTAATTGCACCACCTGGGTCGGGTAAGACTTTCACTTATCTTAAAATGGCTGCACAACAACAAGAACTAGATGAGAAGAACCCATTCTATGAGTTAGTTGTTATTTGTAGTACTTCTGGTCAATTTGACCAAACCGTCAATTCGTTCAAAGATATTATAAAAAAGTCTAAGTTAGTATGTATAAAGGATACTGAGTTGTTAGATTGGATAAAGAAGTACCAAAGAAGAGTTTTGAAGTATAATGCTATAAATGAGTATATAAATTCGAAGTTTAAAGACCCAAATGAGGAAATGCAGAGAATATTAGAGAAGAAACACTTCAGAAACAAACAGAAAGAGATAGAATACATTTCGAAGAAATTGCAATCTTACGATTGGAAGACATACCCTCATAGATGTCTTCTTATCTTAGATGATTTCGCCTCTCATCCTTTGTTAAAGAATAGAGAACAAGATATGTGTCGAATTCTTAAGAAGCTCAGACACTTTAACATCTCAGTTGTCATTTGTGTACAGACAGCAAAGAGTTTAAGTAAGGATGTTAAAAGAATACTTACTGACATTGTACTTTTCCCCGGATTGTCCGAAGACGATTTCATGGAACTTATGAAAGAGTCCATGGCAGGTAAGTTTGACAGACATGAACTATGGGAGAAGTATAAAGTCATACAAGACCCTCATACTTCTTTCAGAATTCATATCTACGCAAACAAAGTTCAAATTGTAAAAAGTCAAGCTTGAAAAATCTAAGTGTTTAGTCTTAGTAAGTCTGTTGTGGTGCTGGGTCTGTCGGTTCTTCTGGCTTTGGAAGGCATTCAGGAAGAGGAACGTGAGACATTCGTTTGTGTCCTGTTGGAAGGAAAAACCTTTCCAGTTGTCGGGAAAAACTTTTCCTGTCGGAAGGAAAAATTTTTTCTGTTGTCGGGAAAAACTTTTCCTGAAGTTCGACCAAAAAGTTCTCAATTTTCGAAAATTTGAATGGTTTACGGACGGACAACTGGAAAAATTTTTCCTGTCGGAAGGAATTTTTTTTCCTGTCGGAAGGAAGAACTTTTCTTGTCGTCGGGAAAATTTTTTCCTGTCGGAAGGAAGGACTCGGAATGCCAGAAGGATTTGACGAGGCAATTTACTTTATAGAGCTACCTGAGCCATCTGAAGTCAAGCTTGAAAAATAAAGAGTTCATTTACTCTACTTGTTTGAAGTTGTCAAAATACTCTGTTATTTTTTCCTTTAACAATGGCAAATCTTCTTTGAATGTAAGTATTGTACAACCTTTCATATCATAGTGTGTTTGAGGTAACGTATCTTGAACTATTTGTTTCACATCTTCATTTGGGGTCATTGAAATCGGTAAGTTTTCGCGATAGAACCAATTTCTGTCAGATTTGTAAATCTTAGCAAGGTCGTAAAAGCTTTTGTTGTTTCTTCTGACTAAATGCAACATAACCATATCTCTGTCTTCTTCATTTTCCATCTCTTCAGTATAAATCATATACTTATAGTTCTTTTCCTTTCCTTTTGGTACCGAACGTGGTATTCTTTTCTGAATGTTTTTGTCTTTTGCTTCAATGACTTCATCTTTTGCTTGAAGTTTCTTTTCCATCTCTTCACGTTCTTGTCTATGAATTTCATCTAACATCATGAAAATATAACAAGCGTAACGAGGTGAAGCCCACATTGCTACAGCATTTACTAAAAGTCTATGAACATAATATCCTTTCAAACTATTTGGCAAATTTTTACGATTTTCGTACGGAATCTCGTTCCTCGGTTTTCCGAGGAACGCAAACATATGAGGAAATTCTTCTAAAAGTTCTTTTGCCTGCTGGTTTTCAAACCAATGATATGCTTGCTTTGTAGAACGAAGAGCTGTCAAAATACTTTGCATTTGGTACATATCGTCTTTGACCGAACGAATGAGACGTAACTGTTTGTTATATTGTATGTACTCGTATTCTTCACTTATGGCTTCATGAACGATAGCAGTTGTTGTGTTCTCTGTTGTTGTCATATCTGTCTTTACATACAAAATAAAAAAAATATTTTATAAAAAATTAGCGTTATTTTTTTATTTTCACAAAAGACCAAAAATAAACGCTTTACATGTATTTTTCAGCAACTTCGTCAAGAAGTCTGTAAATATACCATGCATAACGAGGAGAAGCCCACATTGCTATTGAACTAACTAGGAACTTATGAACATATATACCTTTTAGATGCAATGGTAAGTTTTGTCTGTCTTGGTACATCTTTTTAAGTTCTACATGTTCGAACTCACTCAAAAGTTCATGAGTGCTATTTAATTCAAACCAGTCTTGTGGTTTCTTAGTGTCTGGAGCAAAACATGCTGTCAAAATACTTTGCATTTGGTACATGTCATCTTTGACCGAACGAATGAGACGGAGTTGTTTGTTATATTGTATGTACTCGTATTCTTCATTTATGGCTTCATGAACGATAGCAGTTGTTGTGTTCTCTGTTGTTGTCATTTCTGTCTTTACATACAAAATAAAAAAAATATTTTATAAAAAATTAGCGTTATTTCCTGACTTTCACAAAAGACCAAAAATAAACGCTTTACATGTATTTTTCAGCAACTTCGTCAAATAATTTTATAGCTTTATTTATCTCATCTACTTCAAACGTTTCTTTACCTTTTATGGGAGCACCATACATTTTCTCAAACTTTTCAAGTAGTTCTGTTTCAGCAGCTCTCATATCGTTAACGAACACAACCTTGACTCTATTGACTGTACTGTCATATCTTTGAGTTATATTATATGTTCTTCCTATCTTATATCTCTTTGTATTGAAGTCCTTCGGTTTCTGAACGATGTAAAGTAAGCCTTCACTGCAACGTTCCGTATCGAATGAACCATATGTTATGAAGTTATATCCAACAACTGGGTCTAACCATAACAAAACTATTGGTATAAGACTTTTGTCTATAAGATATGCTGTAGTTCCATAGAATCTTACCGATATCATAAGCTTAGGATTTCTTGTCAAAATTTTCTGAGTAGAAGCAATTTTAACCCAGTCGTGGGATGTTTTCTTTCCAGATGGAGATATAATGTCTGACAAAGAATATTTGTTGTATTTCTTTGAGTATCTTACGTTTAAATCACCTATTCTAACCACTTTGGTGTCATTGTCTATCTTTCTAACTGTTTCAAACTCAATGTTTAACATTTCTGTTCTTACATACAAGATAAAAAAAATATTTTATAAAAAACTAACTTTATTTTTTCTATCTTAAGGAAATTCATGATTTTCATAGAGTTTTGGCGACTACGTTTTCTTACGTACTCGCTGTTCTTCATGATTTTCATAGAGTTTTGGCGACCCCGAAGGAAGTCGGTCTCGCTGTTCTTCACTGATTTTCATGAGTTTTGGCGACTACGTTTTCTTACGTACTCGCTGTTCTTCATGATTTTCATAGAGTTTTGGCGACTACGTTTTCTTACGTACTCGCTGTTCTTCACTGATTTTCATGAGTTTTATGCAAGACCGAAAAAAAACGCTCTAGAGAATTTTCACGATTTTCATAGAGTTTTGGCGACTACGTTTTCTTACCTACTCGCAATTTTTTACGATTTTCATACGGAATCTCTTCTCTCGGTTTTCCTCGGGAAGCAATCTTATGCCATTTTACTCAGATTTTTGTTGCTGAATTCAATAAAAATATAATTTAGGTGAAGAGGTGACATCTCACCCGTTTTCTCACCTGTTTTCTCACCTCTTGAATTTGTCAAGACTTCTTCGTAAACGTTTTGTCAAACATGAACGTAAATGTTTTGTCATGATTTCTTCTTCGTAATGAGCGTAAATCAGTAAAAAATAATGTTTAGGTGAAGAGGTGACATCTCACCCGTTTTCTCACCTCTTTTCTCACCCCAGTTTTTCACAAGCGTTTTACATGAATTGTACGATGTATATTTGAAATCCTAAACAGTTTTGTAGCTTCTATTTCTTCTGTCAGTACATCGAATGTTTTAACAATGCCGAAAGTTTCTTTATACTTCTTCTTGACGTCAGATAATAGGAAATCTTCTGCTGTTGGATAGTTTTTGTTCAGAAATGCTAACATATCCATTTTATTTTCTGCTGGTTTTTCTGCTTCTTTCTTTAAGTCTGCATAGTCGTTTCGCATACGTTCTATCTCTTTGACGGAGTAGTTATATTTCCTCATTGCTGCTTTACATTTAGAACATTGCGGATTCATTTTTGCGTTATATTCTGAAACCTTACCTGCTAAAACAACCAAGGCGTCAATTGCTCTCTTCATCTCAAACATAGCGGGTCTTATCTGTTCATTCCATACCTTACCTCTTCTGTCTTTATCTCTTATCTGCCATACACATTTTGCAACTAATGAAACAAAGTTGTCGTAGGTCTTAAATTCTTCAGATTTGTAAAGGTCAGAGATGTTCTTATAAACCATGTCGCAATCTTTGTCCATAACCTTATGGTTGCAATGAAAACCAAGGAATTCATAATTTACTTTACGTATGAACTTCTTTATTTCTACTGAGTCAGTTGGTTTCACTTCAATTTCGTCGAATTCAGGAATAGTGAGTTTTTGTTGTTGGATTTCAGGCAATTTAGGCAAATGGTCAATAATGTCCTGCATTTCATAAAGATACTGTTCATTTGTTTCATCCTGTGCGGTACAGTCTAAATTACTTGTTAACAGTTCTTGCTTTATCTTCTGGATTTTTGTTTCGAAAGTATATGAAGAAGGAATGAAGCTTTTCATCTCTACTAACATTGAAGTTGGATTCATAACTAAAGAGTTTGGTGCTGTTGTTGCTAACATGTTCTTACAATAAAAATAAAAAAAAATATTTTATAAAAAACTAAAATATATTTTTTATCTTAAGGAAATTCATGAAAATTCAACAGGTGAGAAAACAGGTGAGAAAACGGGTGAAATCTCACCTCTTCACCTAAACATTATTTTTGTCGAAAAAAATGGTTCATTTACTCACAATATTTTTGTACAAAACAACCCCAAGCTTTTAACCTCTCTTCTGCAGCTTCTAATGCTATCTTAGCGAGTTCATATTCTCTAAATTCTCTCTTTAAATCTTCTTGTTCCCATTGGTCTAGTTCGTATGGCGAGTCTCTATAACCAGAACATATCTCACGTTCATGTTCTATTTGTTTTTCATGCATTTTTCTAACTTCTTCTTCGAACAAAGGTTTTGCATTCTCTACTGTATCTTCAAGTTCTTCTTCATCTAATTTCTCATGAACTTTCTTGTCTATGGAGTCCATAATTTTTCCAACTGCTATGCAATATTTTGGAGAAGCCCACATTGCTATATAGTTTACAAGTCTTGGGTCTACATACATTCCTCTAACCTGTTTGATTTCATCAGGAATTCCTGCATGAATTTTGTATAAAAAGCAACCCGCTGTTTTCCGCGGGTTGGTATATTCTTCACAAAATGCCTCAAAATACTCTTCCCAGGACTTATTTTCCAACAACCTTCTAAAGTCCTTCCTAAACTGCTGACACATATTTGTTGCATTTATATAACCATCCTTGTCTCTACGTAAGACTTCAATACCGTTGTAAGTGCCTTTTGTGAATGTTTCGCCATTAGATTTGTTCGTGAACGTTTTTGCTTCGACTGACATTTCTGTTCTTACAATAAAAATAAAAAATATTTTTTGGTGGGACGTCGGACATTCGTTTGTGGCTTAACCGTCGGACCACAACGATAAAAATCTCGACAAAACATATACGATGAAGTCTCAACAAAACATTTACGATGAAGTCTTAACAAAAAATATACGATGAAATCTATTTCCTGTGTTGTTGTCAAAATGTCATGTTGTCACACTTTTTCAAAAAGATGTTAGTTGACCGAGTGACCTGGTCGCCTAAAATATATTTTTTTCTATCTTAAGGAAATTCATGAAAATTCACCTGTTGAATTTTGTATAAAAAGCAACCCGCTGTTTTCCGCGGGTTGGTATATTCTTCACAAAATGCTTGTTTTGAGGTCGAGCCACTTTTGGCTCCACCTCTTTTTTCAACCAAAAACTCATTTTTGTCGAATTCAGCACAAAATTCATGAAAATTCAACAGGTGAGAAAACAGGTGAGAAAACGGGTGAAATCTCACCTCTTCACCTAAACATTATTTTTGGGTCATTTACGCTCATTACGATGAAATCATGACAAAACATTTACGAAGAAGTTTCGACAAAACATTTACGAAGAAGTTTCGACAAAACATAAACGAAGAAGTTTCGACAAAACATTTACGATGAAGAAGTTTCGACAAAACATAAACGATGAAATTCATGAAAATTCAAGAGGGTAGAAAAGAGGTTAGAAAAGAGGTTAGATATACCCATCTACCCTAAACATTATTTTTACTGAATTTAGCAACAAAATGAACGAGGTCAGGATGTATGTTGCTGAATTCATTCATAACACCCTTTGTAAGCTCATAAAATGCTTGTTTTGAGGTCGAGCCACTTTTGGCTCCACCGTATTCTTTCAACCTGAAGCATTTAATATATGTAAAAATATACTGTTTTAAAATGGTATGCCATATAGCTTCTTGAATTTGTTAAGAAGTATTTTAACGTATTTTCCATCTGTATCTCTAGCGTTTACATAAGCATAGCCTTCCTTAGTAAAATATACTTGTAATTTCCTATAGTTTACGCCGGTATAAAAGTAGAATGAGTCTTGTTCTTCGCTATAGTAGTAAAACTCAAACGTATGCTTACCATAGTCTCTAATTTCAATTGTTTCATCTTCTAGTTCGTCGACAAATTCGAATACAATATCTCCAAATTTGCTTATGTTCTTACTGTTTTCAGAACAAGTGACCCAACGTAAGTTTTCAAGTCTATTGTCGTTTCTTATACGGTTTATATGGTCTACAAAAGGTAAATTGTTAGGGTTCGGTATAAAATGAGTTGCAATGACGACATGTTTAAGATAGCGTTTTCCACTCATCCTCATCATAGTATATCCGTCATTTCGCTCCCATTCGCTTAAAACTCTTTTTGTCTTTTTCTTCCTTATTTCAAAAGGTTCACAACAGTGAATTTCATATTTCTCATCTAACAAACAAGTTTCCCAACGGTCTTCTCCAACAAACTCAGCGTACATTTCAAATAAAATAAAAAAATATTTTTTTTGAAAAATGTTTTTTCTTTACTTTACATAACCGCCTGCTGCCATAAGTCTTTGACGCCAACCCATACCAGCTAATGAAGGTTGACTTGGTTTAGTTTGGAAACTAAACTTTGGTTTTGGTTTATCTTCAGTTTTTGGTTTCTCTTCTTCTATCGGTTTTTCGTCACTTTTCGGTTCCTCTGACTTTACCTCACTTGCAGGTATGGTTGTGTCGTTAACATCTTCATAAATATCATATGCCATTTGTTTTTGTTTTCCTTTCAACTTTTTGTGTTTGTTGTAAAGTTTAGAATATTTCGACTCTAAGTCAATGAGATGTTCTATAATGAACTGTTGGTCAGTGAAGTATACCTTCCCATCTGTTGTCTCTTTAACTCCTTCAGACTTCAATATTTTATTTGTGAGAGTCTGTTTCTTTTTTGAGATACTAGCCGTTCCATTTCTATGAAAAGTGACTTTATAGTTAGGGTTTGCATTTCCAGACCTGGCACTTTCTATTATTGAATTTTTCTCTTCATCTGTAAGTTCTTTGACAGGTTTTGACAATGGTTCTGAACTTTTTGTTTGTGGTGTCAAATCTACCGTTTCAACTTCTTCGGTCATTTCATCTCAGTAAAAAATTTTAGTTTGGTTTGTTTTCAACTGGTTGTTGTTGTTTTTTAAGTCGGTCTAAAACTTCCTGAGGTATAGGAAGAACTTGACAAACACGTTGTGTAACTGCTGGAAGTCGACAAATCCATCTTGAACCCATTTGTCTCAATGCTGTATTGTTCATTTCATCTCAGTAAAAAAATTTACATTCCCCACGTTTGAGGCGGTTGAGGTTGGTTATTGTTTACCCATTGTTGTGCATGGTTATATCCTCTGTTAAAGAATCTTTCACCTTGGTCCATATAGTGTCCTGCTTGGTTATAGTAGTCATTTGCTTTGTTATAATAGTTTCCTGCTTGTCTTCCTACATTGTCCATCCATCCTTGAACTTTTCCTCTTGTTTCAGGATTTGGAATAAGATTTGCTGCATCTCGTGCTACATCCCAACCTTTCTGTACAGTTTGTATAATAGGTTGTGCTTTCTCTTTAAGTATACCTAATGTACTCAAAATCTTCCTTCCAACTCCAAATACACCTCTGGCTATTGTTCCCACTGCGGGCAAAAATCTGGATGCAACTCCTGCTAATGCGCCAAATAAACCCATTTCTTATAGGGTAAAAATGACGAATCCAAACAAGGACCCCTATGTTTCTAAGGCAACAAAGAAAGCACTCATGATAAAAATCTTTAGTTCAACACCAAATGCTTGGTTTATGGATATCTTGGAAAACATTCCGAGGTATAGAGAAGATGGACCACCATACTGGCTAATATTTGTCGGTCAAAACACAAGATACTGTGAAGCCATACCATTACAGTCCAAAAATATTTTAGATGTGAAAACTGCTTTGACAATATTCGTTGACAAATACCATCCAACAAAACTGACATCTGACTGTGAAAGTTCTTTCAAATCAGATGATGTAAAAAACTATCTGCGTTCAAAAAATGTAAACCAATATTTCATTGTCGACCAAAACCATTCTGCTCTTGGTGTCATTGACAGTTGTATAAAAATCTTAAGAGACTTAAATCAACCACAAGGTGGTGAAGCAAATGAAATGTCATATGACGACAAATATAGACACTTCTCCATGGCAAAGATGAGACAAGTTTTAAATATTTACAATAGCCGTAAACAAAAAGGTTTGGGAAACCACTCCCCCGAAGAAATGAAAAACAACCCCGACTTAGAGAAAGACTATATATTTAATAGTTTAGTTAAGAGGGATAGACAAGAAAGAATGCCAGGCTTCAAACTTAAGAAAGGTGACAAAGTAAAAATAGAAATACCTAAACGCGACCCATATGAAAATACTATTGACTATGACAACAATGGGAACCCGACAGGTACTCACATTCGTGTTCGTAAAAATAGAAGAAAGTATACAAGAGAATATTATGAAGTTTTAGGCAAACATGGCAAAATGTACAGACTGCAAGCAGAAGATAAAACGACTATTGTCAGACCTCGTTTCAAACTTGTCAAAGTTCAAGGTGGTATACTTTCAAAGACAGTTCCTAACAAATATAAGACAACTCCTGACGAATATGCTAAAGAAGTTGAAAATGACGACTAAGCATTTCTATACCATGCACAAACTGTCATGTAAGGTGGCATGTATTTTTTACCTAGTCCTGTAGATGTTGTTGTAAAAGTATGTTGGTGGTTTCCTCCTGGTTCAGTTTGTCGAAAAGTCTTTTTTGCTGAATGGTTATAATCTGGAGATAAAACGTCATAGCCAGCTTCATACTCTGAGTTGTATAATGGGTGGTCTCTTAATGAGTGGCTATGGTCGCCAGAAAAGTTTGTTGTACCAGAATGACTATGTGGTGGCAAGTTGTCGACAGATATCGTTTTACTTCCACCTGTTTTCTTTGGAGTGTGTGCACAATACAAAAAACTTTCGAGTATTTGAGTCCAAGTTCCAAAACCAAGTACTACTTCTGGTCTGGTAGAGTTCATTGACGTATAAATAGAGCCTATAGGATATAATGTTTGAAGTATTTCTGTCTTTAATGTTTGAAGCTCTGTTTTGTCTGCTTTCTTGTCATATAAATCTTGAGCAGTGAATTTAATATTATGTTCATCCTTCATGACATAAACATCTTTACATCTAATGTTTCTCATCGTCGTTATGTCGTCATCCGATGTTAAACCTTGTGGAAAGTTAGGAGGTTTACAATATAATGCATCCCCACCAGTTTCTTCAACCGTTCCTTCAATACTTTCTATAGCAACAGTTGTAAAACTTGTATGTGTATGGTTCTTGTCAGCTTTGTCATCTAACTTTTCTTGTAAGTTTGCAATATTTGCAATGGTATGTGTATGTCCAACGTCACTTTTCCTGTTTAAGGTTTCTTGTAAGTTTGTAATATTTGCAATGGTATGTGTATGGTTCTTGTCGGCTTTAAGGTCTAAACATCCTGAAACCCACCCTGTATTGGCTTTACCTTCTAAAATCTTCGATGTCCGTTCATGGTACCATTCAACCATTTCTTTAATTTTTTCATCTTTTTCATCCACATATTCCTTATCTGCCTTCTTCACTAACCCACTAGCCAGATATGCTAACTCATCGTCAACATATGTTTTATCTGCTTTCTTTTCAACATCCTCTTTCGTTGCATAAGCTTTGTTAGCTCTTTCTTCTTCTTTTGCTATTGCATCGTCTACATACTCTTTGTCAGCTTTGTTGTCAACATCTGCTTTCAAAAGAAGTTCATCTATAGGTTTCTCGTTTAAAGTTCGTTTTGTTGGATTTATACAGACAGTATGGTTCTTATTGTCTTGAAACAGAAACTCATCTGTCATTGGGTTTAATGTCAGTTTTAAGTTTCCTTCTTTCAATGACTCAGATATCTTAGAATAGTTTGAAAAGTTTGTTGTGTTCTTATTTAGAGCTTGCATAATGAGTTGTCGGTTGTGTTGTATTTCTCTCATAGACGCTGTTTCATTTGACATTTTTATTCTAGATAAAATATGCTTCCAATAGAAAAAGAAAATTCAAGAGTTGCTACAACTAAACCATTAGATGAACTTTTTACTAATGTCGGTCAAAAGTTTGAGACAGAGACCGTAAAGCATGAAGGCTATCGTTTTGACTACCCGTTAAGATGGCTAAGAGACCCATCCGTCACAAAAGCTATTGGCTTTCGTAGAATGAAGTTCATTTCAGAAGCCATACATGGTTTCCCATTTACGGTCGGTTTTGAAGTTCGATACTATAACAAAGAAAAACGTATGTATGAGAAATTTGAACAGGGAAAACTTTTACAAGTGAATTTGCTTGTAAACTTAGAAACAACTCTTCAAGCTTTTCAAGAAAAAATAAACGATATCTATCTCGAATATGCAAACCAGTTTAACATTGACGAAGGAGAATACCATCTCGATATTATATATGACAGGAAAAATGCAACTGTTAAAATCAATAGAATAGAAGACCTTGGAGAAAACGTTTATATTTCTACAAAATATAACAACTTGGCATGGTATAGATTTTTGAGGATGTTAAATCAGCCTGCAGAATATCCAGTACACCCGGACTTTTATGAAGTCGAAAACCCTAATGGAACATATGAAAATGTTTTCAACCCAGCTGCTATTATTGTTCATGCTTCATTTTCTGGCGCCCAAAACTCTTTCTTATGCTTGGCAAATGACTTTTACGAAAAACCTACAAAGCTATATGAACCACCGAGTGGAAGTATTTCAGACTTTCAAGTATGGTTTACTACAGATGGAAGAAAGAGAATAATTCCATTATACCACGCGTTTTACTTAGAACTTAGTTTCATATACAACTACTATCGAACGGTAAAAATATAATTTTAATACGGTTGAGGTGTTGGATTTGGTTGCCAACTTGACTGTGGTGCAGGTTCAGGCTGTTGTATAACAGGAGCTTGTTCTTCTGGTTCAGGGTCTTTAGGTATAATACCAACGAACTGACCTACTCTTTTGCCAATATTTTTGACTCCGTTCCAAATTCCTCTTCCTACGGTTTTTATTCCATTCCATATACCTCTTCCAACATTTCGAAAGAAGTTTCCTATTCTTCCAAAGAAACCCATTTTACTATATGTAAAAATCTAATGTCCACCTAGTCTCTTACGTTTCCTGTTGAGTTCCATAGCATTTTTTAACTGGAGCTCATACATTCTATTTCTCCTCTGGTAGAAAACATACTCTGGGTCAACTCCTGTGTTCGCGTCATCTGCATAGAGTTGTTTATATCCCACTTCAGGGTTTGTATAAAACTCTTTCCATCTCATATTTGCATACCATGGTGGTAAGCCTAACGCAGCGTCATTTGACATGGCAGTTTGCATTTGTACATCTGTTGGCACTTGACCATAGTTTGCCATTGCAGTTTGTATTCTAACTTCATTTGGAATATTCTCTGGGTTTGGTTGTCCAGGTTGCTGTGCATTCGCTAAGTTCTGTGCGTCCATTTAATATTAGATAAAAATATCTCTTACGAGTACATATGCTGAACATTTGCAGGCATTGGTTCATCTTCATATTCTCTGTACTTTTCTGCCACGTCAAATAAATAAATGACACAATGGAAAAAACCTAAAACAAGTAGTCCTATTTCAAACCACATTTACTTACTAATAAAATTTCTTTGTTATGACTTCTTCGTAAATGTTTTGTCAAGACTTCTTCGTAAAGACTTTGTCAAGACTTCTTCGTAAAGACTTTGTTAAGACTTCTTCGTAAATGACCAAAAATATATTTTAGGTGAAGAGGTGAGATTTCACCTCTTTTTTCACCTCATTTCTCACCTCTTGAATTTTCATGAATTTCTTCGTAAAGACTTTGTTAAGACTTCTTCATCTAATTTCTCATGAACTTTCTTGTCTATGTTTTGTCAAGATTTCATCGTAAAGACTTTGTTGAGATTTCTTCGTAAATGACCCTAGTAGTATATTTTTGGTGTAAATTTCATGAAAATTCAAGAGGGTGAAAAATTAGGTGAAAAAACAGGTGAAATCTCACCTCTTCACCTAAAATATATTTTTGGTGTAAAATTCAAGAGGGTGAAAAATTAGGTGAAAAAACAGGTGAAATCTCACCTCTTCACCTAAAATATATTTTTGGTGTAAATTTCATGAAAATTCAAGAGGTGAGAAATGAGGTGAAAAAACAGGTGAAATCTCACCTCTTCACCTAAACATTATTTTTGTCTGATTTTACGAAGAAGTCTTGACAAAACATTTACGAAGAAGTCTTGACAAAACATTTACGAAGAAGTCTTGACAAAACATTTACGAAGAAGTCTTGACAAAACATTTACGAAGAAGTCTTGACAAAACATTTACGAAGAAGTCTTGACAAAACATTTACGAAGAAGAAGTCTTGACAAAACATTTACGAAGAAGTCTTGACAAAACATTTACGAAGAAGAAGTCTTGACAAAACATTTACGAAGAAGTCTTGACAAAACATTTACGAAGAAGTCTTGACAAAACATTTACGAAGAAGTCTTGACAAAACATTTACGAAGAAGTCTTGACAAAACATGAAAACATATATAATTTGTGAAAAGTGAAACATTATATAATGTTTTCGACCAAGAAGACTAACAATTTTCCGAATAAAAACTTCATTTATACTAAACATCTTCAGGGCTAGAGGGCACGAAGTGCCTGGAAGCCCCACTACCTTTTTTTTTTTTTTTTTTTCATGGCATTATCTGTTTTTCATTTTCATCATCTTCAAATTTCGACAATAATATTGGATTATTTATCTATAAAACAATTAAAAATATATTTAAATAACATGAATTCCATACATATATTAACATTTTCTTGGCGTCAAGCCGCTGAAGAATCTGTTATCTTTTTTAACAGCATTGAGATTTCTTTGTAAGTGGCCTTGCTACAATTTGAATAGCTTCATCACTCTTTTTAATCTTTGATTCGACTAAAACTTGAGCAGCCATTTCAAATAGTTCCACAATTGCTTCACCAGTTCGTGCTGATGTATATATTAATTTAGTCTTATGAGAATTAGTCCAATTTTCTATATTTTCTTTTGGAATCTGGTTTTGGTCAAGGTCAATTTTGTTTCCAACAATAATAAATGGACATTCTATTCCTAATTCTACATGTATTTTTGTATACCACTCATCTAAAGAATAAAAACTACGCACATCTGTAACATCGAAAACTAAAATTACTAAAGATGCATCTTGTGCATATAATGGGACTATATTTCGATATCTTTCTTGACCTGCAGTATCCCAGATATTCATAACTACGTCTTTCCCTTCGTGTGACAACGTAATTTGACAATGATTTGCTCCAACAGTTGGCTGAATTTCATCCTGGAAGTAACTTTGATAGTAACGGACTGTGATGCAGGTTTTTCCAACGCCAGCATCCCCAATAAAAATAACTTTTTCAGCCTGCATATTTAGCTAAAAAAGTGACTTACTTTTCGAAGACAACCTCAAAAAATAAAAAACGATCATTGATTTTTCTAAGTTATTATGTTAAGGATTTCCACATTTTTAAAATTCTAAATATTGCCATTTCCGATCATTATTTTGTCAGTTTTTCGATCGTAGAATTTCGCATCAAAAATACTTCTCAACATTACAACTCCCGAAATCAAATGTAATTTTCAATACAATAGCACCTAAAATACATACCATATGAGTTTCACTTATTGATTTCATATGAAAAGCTAAATTTAAAAAAAGAAATTTTCATAGAATAAATAAAAATAAATATTTTATAATACAAATAAACATTAAATATACAATTCTTATCTACGTCTAGTATATTTCTTTGGACTGTTATTGTCATCTTCTAAATTATCTGTTTGTTGAGGCATTTGCTGTTGCTGTGGCTGCATTTGTTGTGGTTGTTGAGGGTTTTGATTAGGAGCAGCTGCAAAACCAAATTGTTGTGGATTTTGTTGAGGATTAAATCCAAATTGTTGCGGGTAAACATATCCTGGCATTGCTGGTTGCATGAAAGGCTGCTGGAACATTTGTGGATGCTGTTGCATCATTTGTGCCATCATCATCTGCTGTTGTTGGATAAATAACATTTGCTGCTGCTGATCAGGGAAAAATCCTTGCATCTGCATGAACTGTTGTGCTGGAATAGGCATTAAAATGTATCCTGGAATTGGTTGCTGGTAATAATATGGTGGATATTGAGGAACGTAACCAGGAATTTGCTGCTGAGGCATAGGATATCCTGGCATTTGTGGTTGTTGAGGATAATTCTGGTTTGGCTGCTCAGGAACTGAATTTTCTTCTGATTTCGGAGTTTCTGGCTGCAAAACTGAGCCAAAACCTTGGACAGTTTGTGAATTATCATCAATTATTCGTGGGAATGATTCAAATGATGCTGGTTGTGGTGATTCAGATTTTGGACTTGTAAATTTAGGATTAAGAGGCTGATTAGGGATAATTGGAGCTGATTTAGGTCTGAAGTAATAGTGAGGCTCCTCAAGATCATTCTGTTCTGGATTTGGAGGTGAAATTGGAGTTGATTTCGTTGAAAATCCAGGAGGAGAAAGTTCTTGAGGATTGGGATACTGAGGAGCAAACTGTGGATAGTAATTTACATTAGGCTGTGGCTGCATCTGACCAACATTTTGATTATTGTAATTATAAGGCATTTGTACAGGATTAAATGGAACTGCTTGCACAGTCTGTGGTGGCTGTGCTTGCTTGTTATCAATAGCCTTTGGTTTCTCTGGTTCTTGCGGTTTTTGCTCAGGAATTTCTTCATTTTCAACTTCATTCAATGGAACACTTGCAGGAATTGGTTCACTAGCAGGCTTTGGAGCTACGAATGGTCGAGTCTCAACCTTTTGTGGTTGAGATTTTGAGATAAATGAAGGAAGTTCTTTTCTATTAATAATTTCTTCCTGAGGAAGTGATGCTGGACTAAATCGAGGGATGTTAACAACTTTCTTTGGCTTTTCTTCGACTTTTTCAGAAATATTATTTAGATTTTCCCATTTAGATGGCTTAATATTAGCAGTTATTGGTGCTGATGAACTTAGGAGTGCTGGATATTCCTCTTCTATAGATTTTTGTTCTGAATTAGAAGAATTATTCTCCGGTTTTTCAGGGGCTTCAACAGGTTTAGCACTAGGCTGCTTTAATATCACATCTAGCTTAGGAGATTGAATAGGTTCCGGATTCTGCTTTGGAGCGAATTGTGGAATCTGAATCTGTTGGTTTTGTTCAGGTTCTATATCGATTTGATACTGGAAAACAGGTTGTTGGACATTAGTTACTGGCTTTCCAGTCAGAGATGGGAATTCTTCATCAATAAATTCCATGTAATCCTTGGGTTCCTCTTTCGTGTCACTTTTCTCAATTGGCTCTTCAATTTTTTCAATTTTTTCTTCTTTCTTGTCACTTTTTGTAATTTGTTCTTGTTTCTTATCAACTTTTTCTTGTTTTTTAGGTTCACTCTGTAATTTTTCGAAACTAATTGAAGCCCAATCATTTTTAACAGGCTTTGGTTTTTGTTTCTTCTGAGGTATTTGTGTCTCAACTCTTTTAGTACTTGATATTGATGTTGATCTTGTTGGTTTCAACAAATCTTTGAAAGAATCTTCTTTTTTACTTGTTTTTGACATGTTTTCTTGTAATTCTTTCTTTACATCAATTTTATTTGGAACAGAAGGTTCAGTGTCTATTGTTTCATTCATTAGTTTGTTCATGAACCTTGTGTTTATCTGTTGTTTCACGAAACTTCCGACTTGTTCTGATTGTTTCCGTTTAATTTCATCAGACAAAGAATCAGAAATTGTAAATTCTTTGTCTTTCTTCATTTGGTACATTAAATCTGTTGCAAATTGAAGGAATTCTTCCTGTCTTTCTTTAGGTAATGGCATCATAACTCTGCTCAAGATCTTTCGTCTGAAGAATTCAGGATACAAATTCGATTGAATAACTGTTTCTTCTCTATCAAAAGTGACATCTTCGTATTCAATTTTTATGTCACTTTTCTCTGTTTTTTCTTCGAACAAATATTCCTTTAATAGTTCAAAGAAGTGGCAAAATTCTTCGACTTTCGGATAGAACATGACAAAAGATTTCACAGGATGCTCATGTTTGTAATAATTGTAAACGGTTTCTAAGAAATTGAATACATCAAAAGCGGTTTGAGAATTTTTTTGAGTTCTCAAAACTTGTGGGAAAGAAGTTATGACTTTGATCATCTGGTTGAGTTTGTTGATGAGTTCTTTTTCGTTTTTAGGACTGAAATCAGCCAATTTTTCTTTCAATTTTTCAAAAGTAGAATAATCATCAGCCAAATAATTAATTTTGATTTCTTCTTTCGGTCTTTCAGCGAAATTAATATCGGATTCGTTCTTAAGAATCATTCCATTCATGAAAAGAATTAAACAATCATAATATTCGTTCTCATCCTTTTCAAAAGTAACCTCTTCAAAGTTATCAAATTTTTCAGCCAACCATTTAAAGAAATCAGGAGTTTCTTTGATCAAAGATTTCTGATATTTGCATAATTCAGCGAATTCCATTGGCATTCTCAATACTCCATTATTTTCAATTAAAAACTTGATTCTATTCTCTAATAAATTCCTTAAGAAATCGAGAGGATTTTCACTGTTTTTATATTGAACTTTAGTTTCTCTCAAAAACTTCAAAATGTCATTAATTTCTTTTTCTTTGTTTGAGAATTCGACATCTTTCAAATAAGACATCAATCTATTGACATCTTTTGTCACTGGATACCAGCAAGAAACAAACAAATTCATATCATTGTCTTGTGCATAGTTTTCTCCACATAATCTTCCGCAAATTAACTTCATATCTTTTGTCAATTTGTTCTTATTAACCAGTTTAAGTCTCTTGTTTTCAACAACTAAATATTTCACGTTTTTGACAAGTTCTGGGAAAACAAAATTATTTTCGAAATTAACATTATAATTTGCATGCTTTTCATATGGATAATAGAAATCAAAAGAGAAAGGAGTAATAAGAGTTTTCTCGGAGTTATTTGACAAATCAATTTTGTCTCCTGACTTAACATTTGTCACTTTTTGTGTTGATCTGTCAAATAACAAACATTTCATATCATTTATCTTTTTCGTTGTGAATTGGAATGTCAGATATTGTTTATCTGCCTTAAACTGTGTTGTTACAGGCACAATAGCAATATCTCTTGAGAAACCATTATATGTGATTTGAACTATTATTGCTCTATCCATTTTATCATAAAGAGAAAGGTCAAACCATCCTAAATGTCCTTCTTGTCCGACGTTTTTGATGTCAATGTTATCAGGTGATTTGACATCAAATTGTTTGTCAGGTTCCCTCAAATAAATATACTGTCTAAATGGAAGATTTCCGGCATACAATACATCAGAGCCATCAAATTTTCTCTCATAATAATTGTAAAGTAGAAAAGTGACATCTTCAGCAGTAAATTTCTTTTCTTCGACAGCGAATTGTATTTTATCTTTTTTGTTGAAATAAATATTTCCTTGAAGCAAACAACCATAAGGAGAATTAACAGTCAATAAATTACCTTTTCTTTCAAGCTTAATTGGTTTTTCATCGTAACAAACCATTTCAGTTTTATAAGGCATTTCTTCGTTAAAACAGTTTTTGACATTCAAACTGAATTCAGTTTTTGATGCAATTTTTGACAAAACAAAAGTATTTGATGGTTTGTCATAATAAAACTTATTTCCAGGAGAAGTAACCAAAACAAAAGGTTTTGTCTTGATTTGTTGTGTATTAATATTCAAATATTTTTCATTACCATCGAAAACTAAGAAATAAGAATCATAAGGATTTGAATCCAATTCTAATTTCAAGTTCAATTTCATGTTTTTGTTGTCAATTTCAACATCATCGTCATTGTAATAGTTTCCATTCTTGTCAATCAAATGAATCTTTTGCGCATTTTCTGGTGAAATTTCACTTGAAAATGGAATTGACAACTTTACAAAACCGTCGTTATTTTTAGAAGAAATTGGCAAATCAATTGTTATTCCTGGAATCAAATAAGCAAATGTATCAACATTTTTGTCATTTCTTATATCAATTTTAGGAACAAACTTATCTTTGACCAAGAAATTGTATTTCTTTTGTTTGACAATGATTTTTGGTTCTTTGTAAATACTTTCTTTTGACAAAACAATTAAATCATTAATTCTTTCATCCAAATGATTATTATCAACAATACTATGAGTAAATTCTTGTTTTAGTTCATAGTAATGCTTCTCTTTTTGATAATAATCAAACATGAAATCGTAAAAGTATTTTGTCAAATCTTTTTGAGAACTTAAACCGTTTTCATCAATAGAAAGAGAAACTAAATAAACAAATCTATTCAAGTATTGATCCAAATATTTAGTTTCTGGTGAATATCCAATTGATTTTGTTAACCAAGTGAATTCTTCCTGTAATTCAGAGTTCATGACAACTGAGAAAGGTTGAATCCAGTTGTTAACATTGATTTGATCTTCCATCATTTGAATAATGATAGAAGAAGGCAAATTTTCTTTTTTGTCAGTAAACAAAATATTGAAAATTTTCTCTTTTTCGTCAAAACTATTGTCTAAGAAATTACAGAACCAAAATGGATCGTATTTCTTAACATGATTAATGAAAATCTGTTGGTCATAAATAGAAGAAACACCTTGTACTGTTAAGTCTTTGTATAATTCAAGACCACTTTCTATCATCGCGTTCTCAAAACTGATGTTTTTATCAGTGATCCTGGAAAATTCTGCACTCATGTATGGATTATTACATAAAAGAATACGATAAGATAACAAACAGCTTGTCAAACCGTTTGTATTTTCAAGTTCTGATTTGAGATCTTCGTATCTTGAGAAGAATTGTCTTTGCTTGATTCTGACATCTCCTGAAACACTTTTCATCAAATTCAAATCAAATGTTAAAATGCGTTTCACTGATGGTTTGTCGAGATTTTCACAAAGATCAAACAATACTTTGAAATCATCATTTGGCTTGCCAATCATCCTCTTGACTTCGAATGCAATGTTGACAAATTTTGTAGATTTTGTCAATTTTATCGACTTCAAATTGAGAGGTTTTGTAAAGTCAAAAATTTCTGGCAAAATTTTGATGAAATAAATTGGATTTTGTTCTGGAATCAAAATAGGAACATTACAAGGAACATGGTTCAATATAAACTCGCAACTCTTGAATGCTGATTCAGGCAAATTGTTTTTAATTGATGCCAAATGATTTAATTCATCAATCAAATTGTCATTTATCAACAAATCAGGTCTAGAAACAAAACCAAGATAAACTTCTGTTCTTATCTTTTCGTAAGCATCATTCCAAGCAGATTTCGATTTTCCGAAGTAAATATCATAAAACAAATTCTTGTAATCAGGGAAATACTTGTCAACGTAATAAAATGATTCAGGAGAAACGGTTTTGACTTTTTTGTTGCCAAGTAAACTGACAATAAATGAATATTTGACTAATGATGACAAATAATCATATTTATGGTCATCTTTCATTTCGAAGTTCCTTTCAAATTCTTCATGGTTTATCTGATAAACTCTTTTAATTTTTGTGTCACTCAAATTTGAGAGGAAAATTAATTTCTGAAGTCTATCAGTTTCCATAAATTTATCATTGTCATAGAAATACTGCAAAATCTCGTAATTTTCCAACTTCTGCGTTATGATTTTCTGCATCTTTAAGTCAATGAATTCATCATTATTAGCGAATCTTTTTATCAAAATATTCTGCAAATCAATAAATATTTGGGAATAAGTCAAATCATAATCTTTGAAATTGAAATCAATCAAAGTCAAAGCAGATTTAATGTCATTTATTGATTGACCGAGTTTATTGAAATGATAGTTCTTAACTTTGCTCATTTCTTTCAACAAATCCTTGCATAAATAAAGGAAAGGCATCAATTCTGTTGGTTTCTTTTTGATGATTTCCCTTGCAACATGTGTTATATAATAAGTTGCTTCATATAATTTCTCTTCGCAGACACCTTTTCCAAATATTGTTCCTATAATAACAGCAAACAATTCTGTGGAACAATCGTATTTCATTGACAAAGCGAATTTGATGAAATCTTGTTTGTGATCTCTCAAAAATTGACATGTTTTATCATCCATGTCCAAATTTTCAAATAATTGAGACATTCCTAAACCGAATTCAATCATATTCATTGGGAAAATACTTGTTCTAATGTATTCACCGATCATTGGCAATCTGCTTCTGATGTATGTCAAGAAAGGATGATATTGGAAATTACTGAAATCACAGCTTTGGAATTTATTTGTTGTTTTCTGGTTAATCATCGTTCTAAACTTAACAATTTTCTCTTTATCTTGATTTGTTTTTGCTTCATTTGTTAATTTGCTGAAGAAATCATCGAAATTCTCAAATTCTTGATTACCAAATTTCTCATCAACAAAATCGAAATACAAATGACTGAATTTCTTGAATTTTTTGAGATCGAATCTAAACAAATTCAAGAAACAATTAACAACCATGCAATTTCCAATAATATGGTCATACATCCTTAAATATCCACTTGTTATCTTCTTGTAAGCATTATAGATATTGGACCATAATATTGACATCGGTCTCATTGTTAACCAATCTTGGTTTTCTTTAGAACAAATTGTATAATAAAAGTTTTCGAGATCTGACAAATAATCGTCTAAAAATTCAAAATCATCTTTCATTACTTTTTCGAAATCCATTTTCAAATCTTTTCTTTTTGATAAAATCATCAATGCAGAAATATTATATTTCTTCGCTTCATCAACTAAATATTTTTCAACAGAATACTTCGCATTAAAAACGGCAAAACCGTAACCGTCGTAACCGTAATAATCGATATCTTTTATATCGTTATTTAAATCGTAAAAATCATCAACAAAGTAACGGCCGTCTTCGCTTAAAGGGATCAATGTTTCTTTCAATCTCAACAACTTGACTTTTTTATGTGTTTGATTGATGAATTTGTTTAATAACCAACAATGATCCAAATCTTCTTTTATCAAGCCTTTTTCAACAAAGTAAGTATATGGATTCTCTTTTGTCAAATCAAATTTTCTTGCAAGTTTTTCACAAAGTGTTTTTGGCAAACGGTTTTTCACTTCACTTATGTCTTTTTGTAAACTAATAAAGAGTTTGACGAATTTGTTATCATCATTTTCATCAAACTTGTAGTCTAACAGATTATTGATTAATCTCAGATCGAATAAATTCTCCAAGAATTTGTCTTTTGAAGAGAAATAATCAGCATCAGAAGAAACTTTTTGTTTTGTCAAAGCGAATGCGAAATCAATCCATTTTTTGTATTCTTCCAAAGGTTTTTCAACATTCTTAGCTGTAGTTGTCCAAAAGAACTTATTTAATTCTGTATAATTTTGGTCAATTTCAGCATCTGTTGTTGCGAAAAACAAAGAATACATGAATTCTTCTTCCGGAGCTATAGAATTAAAATTATCTCTTATTTTATCCAATAAATAAAGCTGCTTTTCTTTGTCAATTCCTTTCTTTGGCTGTATTTTTGTTAGGTTCAAAACAAGATAAGAAGCAACCGTTCCTATCGTCAAATTCTTTGACAATAACCGTTGTAAACTTTTTACAGTATTTACATCGGTTTTTTGCAAATATTGATACAACGGCATTTTCAAAATTTCATTTGGATTTACATTGAAATCGGCCGTTTTTCCAGCTTCGATATTTACAGCGAGATCTCTTATTTTCTTTTTCTCTTTGAAGTAATCATATTCGTTATTTCCCATTTCAGAGATTTTATCTGCGAAATCCACAAAATTTGTTTTTTGTGCCGGTGAAAATTTTTCATATTCCGGCAAATTTTTGACGAAAGGAGTATAAATATACAAATATTTCTTAAACAACTGTATATTAGGAGGTGGAAAGATAAATTCGAAGTTCTCTTGATAGCAATCATTCATAATTTCTTCGACATCTTTGATACACGACGAAGTAATGAACTTCAAATTATTTTCAAATTGATTTATTATTGTTGCCGTGAATTGATGTGACAAAATATAGGGATATTTACAAAATTGTTTGTAAAAATCATCATCAATCATTATTTTCATTAACTCAAACATTTTCTGGTTTTTGTTAACGACAATCTCTTTCGCCATGTTTTTTATCATTGGATATTTCGTAAAAAGAAAATGCAACATCAATAAATCTTGATTTTTCTCAATTTCTTTGCAAACTCCTTTGATTTGGGAATATCTCATCATAATCAAGAGCCATTCATAGTTCTTGCTGTCCTCGTAAGTGTAAATGGCATTCTCGAAGTGGAAATCATGTGTCCTTTTGTTCAAATGGTAGTTTATATACGAATCTCTGTAAATTAACATTTTTTCAAGAATATTTAATGGAATTTCTTCGGAAACTAGCTTGGAATCAATTAAAAACTTGACAAAGTCATATGAAATGTCATCTTTTGTAACATTTAGAAGTTTTTGGACAATTAATTTCTGATTTGTAAAAATTATCTGATTAATCTTGAATTTCAGACCATTTATGAAGTTCCCGAGATACTCATCATCAATCATGAAGATATCTGATATCTTAAACATGCTTTCATAGTCTTTTTTGGCAATTAAATTTTTATATAAAATATCTGGGTTGAAAGTTTGTTCTTTTTCTAGTATTTTGTAGAGATCATTAATATAAAAGATGAATCTGAAACATTTCTGGGTCTGTGGATCAAGATTTAACTGTAAAAACTTAAATGAAGATAAAAATAGTGTAGAAAACCTTTCTGTTGATAAACTGCGCGTAGAGCATAAACTTAAATAAACAAGTGTATCTGCATTTTCCTTGAAAATTGAAAAAGGTTCGGTTTTTGTGAGAGAAATAAAATTCGAATTTCGATTTAAGTATTTTTGATAGTATTTGTTAAGTAAATCAAATAGAATTCGATCTGTGATTTCATTTTCATCATTGGTAGTCGTATAAATCTCGTTTTCGTCGATTCCTCGAATTTCAATTATTTTTCCTTCTTTCGTAATGAGTAATACCTCTAAAGGTTTCTTTTCTATCAAAGGATTTTCAATATTATGAAATGTAAATGAAAAATTGGCTTCTTCAATCAATTCTTTTGCCATTTTAGCAATTTCATGCATAAAACAGCCATTTTCAAAGATGTTATCGTATTTTTGCTTTAAAGAGCACCATGCGTTGAAGTATTCACCAAGATTTTCTGCTTCTAATAAATTTATAAAAATATCTGCATCGTCAACATCATAATTTAGTGATGGAAACTGATCTAGCTTTTCATTTAATCTGTAAAAACAATCAGCATAGTCTCTTAAAGTCAATAAATTGTTGGAACGGCTTGCTATTTCGATGATATTCCAATCAAATGTTCGCAATTGAGATAGCTTAGACGAACTTTTAAGAAGCTTGATCTTTTGAATGAAAAAGTCAAGCAAATCACTGTTGGTTGATAAAATTGAACGAAAATAACTAATAAAATTAAGATTTTCGGGATCAAAATCAGCTAACTTAGACGATATTTCTCTAATTATGTCTAACTCGTTGTTAGTCATAGGAAAAGACATCGGGCTATTCTAAATTACTCAAAAAGTGACACATGTTCTAACAAACTAAGAAATGGCCTTTTTTTAGATGAAGAAAATATTAGTACACTATAGTAATATGAAAATTTGTAATATTTAGATTTGATATGAAATATATTTTTTTGTGAAAGTCACTAATCCTGGACTTTGATCTTAAAAAGACAATCATTTTAATGAAATTTATTCATGATTAGCTTCTTTATTAAAAAACAATAATATAAAACAAAAATATTATTCAATTGAACAAATATTCAATGTGCTTGACCTTATTTATAGGGCATGAGCTTAATATAGTAAGCTTGTCTTTCATGTTCATGGATAAAATCTTCTCTCTGATATCATAAGGGATTAGAAATTCTTCATTTGCCTCTGAAATCCACTTATTCAATCTCGACAAGTACTGTTTAGATGAAACTCTAACACTAGAAACAGTCTTCATAGTTTTCAAGCCTTGAGCACTAAGAAAATTATATAATCTTGTTGTAATTAAGTTTACATTTCTTATTTGCTTATCCAAGTTCAGTTCCATTTCATTAATGATATGTAATAAAAGGGACATTCCTTGCGATTGAGTAAACGATGCACCTAAATGTTGTAAATTGGAGAAATCATAAATTTGTTTGACTTTTGGCTTAATTAGATAAGAATCTAAGCTTGCAGTAAACTTACTTGGATATAATCGTTCAAATCCAGAACCTGTCAGTTCATTCATCTTGTCTTCGAGTGCAATTATTTTTTCATTTGGCTTATTATGAGGAATATTGATGATAGAAAGAGTTCTAGACAACAAAGGTGCTTTTAAGCCATAGTCTAGAGACTCATTTACACCCATGCAAGGAGATGTATTAACTTCAAGAAGCCATGGATGAAAATCAGCATCAAACATTATATCAAAACCAAATAACTCAAAAAATGTACACAAATCAGAACGATCAACACAATGAGCAGATTGCATAAAGATTAGGGTCTTTGCAACTAATGTTTTTATGCTATTAAAAATCCTTTCTGGAGAAATTTTCCATCTTGAATTTATTTCAAGCATAATTTCATTTAATGTCCATTTAAAATCAACACCATCTCCGTAAACTTGCGCTCTTCTATTAAGTTGCGCATTTATTAGGCTTGAAAATGGAGAAAATTTATCTGAATATGAATTTGTCGCGAATCTTGTAATTCCATCTTTGTATATGAATGCTCGAAGAGGTATAAATGATGTTACAAGAACATAAATTCTCAAATCGAACTTGAATCCATCGATTAGTAGTGGTCGAGAAATGTATTCTGAAACTACAGAGTTCTGATTAATTCTTGTGATATCTTTATATGTAGTAACTGTAATACCATTGCCTCCACTACCTCTTGGAGGCTTGCAAATGTACTATTTGTTTTGATGTTTACGCATTTCCGTAAACAATTTTGATGAATCAGCTGGAAGTGTAAAAGTCTTGGGGAAGAAATCAACTAACTTATCGTAAAGATAATGATTTTGTATTATTTGAGCAAAAGATGATTTATCGCCGATAATACTTCTTGATTCTAAAAAGTGATTGAAAATTTGATGGGAATAAAATACTGAAAATGAGTCAACTTCTGGAGAAATTCCCCAAAATATATCGAAATCATTAGAATAAGTAACTTGTAATCCGTTATATCGAGCAATTTTCTCTACGAGAGCTTTATTATAATTTCCAAACTTTATTCTAATAGGATGAACAAAATTTGGCCTATCATCAAGCTCAAATTCTGATTCAGGCCATCGAAAAACGAGGAAATTCTTCATTTATAAAATTGAAGTTTATTATTTCCTAATAAAAGATTTTTATATTTTTTATAGATTGATTTGATTTAAAACAATTCAATCATATAAAGCATTTTAAAATCATTTTTCCAGAAAGGGAGAATGAGTATTCTATTTACAATCAATTATGTTAATCTTACCTTATCTGCTCTTAATGCTTTGCGTCCTAAGAAGCCAAATTATCAAAATTTTTTCCCTAAATCTTCTCATATTCTTTAAACGAGCGGCAATCAGTAAGATAGGCGATAGAACTTTATACTATTTGCAACGATTTTTAATACAGATGAACAAATTCATAAAAGATGAGTGACTGACAGATGCAACAGTGTCTGACAGATGCAACAGTGTCTATGAGATGCAACAGTGTCTGACAGATGCAACAGTGTCTATGAGATGCAACAGTGTCTGACAGATGAAAGAGTGTCTATGAGATGCAACAGTGTCTGACAGATGCAACAGTGTCTGAAAGATGCAACAGTGTCTGACAGATGCAACAGTGTCTATGAGATGCAACAGTGTCTATGAGATGCAACAGTGTCTGACAGATGCAACAGTGTCTATGAGATGCAACAGTGTCTGACAGATGCAACAGTGTCTATGAGATGCAACAGTGTCTGACAGATGCAACAGTGTCTATGAGATGCAACAGTGTCTGACAGATGCAACAGTGTCTATGAGATGCAACAGTGTCTGACAGATGCAACAGTGTCTATGAGATGCAACAGTGTCTATGAGATGCAACAGTGTCTATGAGATGCAACAGTGTCTGACAGATGCAACAGTGTCTATGAGATGCAACAGTGTCTATGAGATGCAACAGTGTCTATGAGATGCAACAGTGTCTGACAGATGCAACAGTGTCTATGAGATGCAACAGTGTCTATGAGATGCAACAGTGTCTATGAGATGCAACAGTGTCTATGAGATGCAACAGTGTCTATGAGATGCAACAGTGTCTATGAGATGCAACAATGTCTGACAGATGCAACAGTGTCTATGAGATGCAACAGTGTCTATGAGATGCAACAGTGTCTATGAGATGCAACAGTGTCTATGAGATGCAACAGTGTCTATGAGATGCAACAGTGTCTATGAGATGCAACAGTGTCTATGAGATGCAACAGTGTCTATGAGATGCAACAGTGTCTATGAGATGCAACAGTGTCTATGAGATGCAACAGTGTCTATGAGATGCAACAGTGTCTATGAGATGCAACAGTGTCTATGAGATGCAACAGTGTCTGACAGATGCAACAGTGTCTATGAGATGCAACAGTGTCTATGAGATGCAACAGTGTCTATGAGATGCAACAGTGTCTATGAGATGCAACAGTGTCTGACAGATGCAACAGTGTCTATGAGATGCAACAATGTCTGACAGATGCAACAGTGTCTATGAGATGCAACAGTGTCTATGAGATGCAACAGTGTCTATGAGATGCAACAGTGTCTGACAGATGCAACAGTGTCTATGAGATGCAACAGTGTCTGACAGATGCAACAGTGTCTATGAGATGCAACAATGTCTGACAGATGCAACAGTGTCTATGAGATGCAACAGTGTCTGACAGATGCAACAGTGTCTATGAGATGCAACAGTGTCTGACAGATGCAACAGTGTCTGACAGATGCAACAGTGTCTGACAGATGCAACAGTGTCTATGAGATGCAACAGTGTCTATGAGATGCAACAGTGTCTATGAGATGCAACAGTGTCTATGAGATGCAACAGTGTCTATGAGATGCAACAGTGTCTGACAGATGCAACAGTGTCTGACAGATGCAACAGTGTCTATGAGATGCAACAGTGTCTATGAGATGCAACAGTGTCTGACAGATGCAACAGTGTCTGACAGATGCAACAGTGTCTGACAGATGCAACAGTGTCTATGAGATGCAACAGTGTCTATGAGATGCAACAGTGTCTATGAGATGCAACAGTGTCTATGAGATGCAACAGTGTCTGACAGATGCAACAGTGTCTATGAGATGCAACAGTGTCTATGAGATGCAACAGTGTCTATGAGATGCAACAGTGTCTATGAGATGCAACAGTGTCTATGAGATGCAACAGTGTCTGAGATGCAACAGTGTCTGAGATGCAACAGTGTCTATGAGATGCAACAGTGTCTGACAGATGCAACAGTGTCTATGAGATGCAACAGTGTCTATGAGATGCAACAGTGTCTATGACAGATGCAACAGTGTCTATGAGATGCAACAGTGTCTATGAGATGCAACAGTGTCTATGAGATGCAACAGTGTCTATGAGATGCAACAGTGTCTGACAGATGCAACAGTGTCTGAGATGCAACAGTGTCTATGAGATGCAACAGTGTCTATGAGATGCAACAGTGTCTATGAGATGCAACAGTGTCTATGAGATGCAACAGTGTCTATGAGATGCAACAGTGTCTATGAGATGCAACAGTGTCTGAAGATGCAACAGTGTCTGACAGATGCAACAGTGTCTATGAGATGCAACAGTGTCTATGAGATGCAACAGTGTCTGACAGATGCAACAGTGTCTATGAGATGCAACAGTGTCTATGAGATGCAACAGTGTCTATGAGATGCAACAGTGTCTATGAGATGCAACAGTGTCTATGAGATGCAACAGTGTCTATGAGATGCAACAGTGTCTATGAGATGCAACAGTGTCTATGAGATGCAACAGTGTCTATGAGATGCAACAGTGTCTATGAGATGCAACAGTGTCTATGAGATGCAACAGTGTCTATGAGATGCAACAGTGTCTGAGATGCAACAGTGTCTATGAGATGCAACAGTGTCTATGAGATGCAACAGTGTCTATGAGATGCAACAGTGTCTATGAGATGCAACAGTGTCTATGAGATGCAACAGTGTCTATGAGATGCAACAGTGTCTATGAGATGCAACAGTGTCTATGAGATGCAACAGTGTCTATGAGATGCAACAGTGTCTATGAGATGCAACAGTGTCTATGAGATGCAACAGTGTCTATGAGATGCAACAGTGTGTCTGAGTGCAACAGTGTCTATGAGATGCAACAGTGTCTATGAGATAGATGCAACAGTGTCTTATTGAGATGCAACAGTGTCTGACAGATGCAACAGTGTCTATGAGATGCAACAGTGTCTATGAGATGCAACAGTGTCTATGAGATGCAACAGTGTCTATGAGATGCAACAGTGTCTGACAGATGCAACAGTGTCTATGAGATGCAACAGTGTCTATGAGATGCAACAGTGTCTATGAGATGCAACAGTGTCTGACAGATGCAACAGTGTCTATGAGATGCAACAGTGTCTATGAGATGCAACAGTGTCTATGAGATGCAACAGTGTCTATGAGATGCAACAGTGTCTATGAGATGCAACAGTGTCTATGAGATGCAACAGTGTCTATGAGATGCAACAGTGTCTGACAGATGCAACAGTGTCTATGAGATGCAACAGTGTCTATGAGATGCAACAGTGTCTGACAGATGCAACAGTGTCTATGAGATGCAACAGTGTCTATGAGATGCAACAGTGTCTATGAGATGCAACAGTGTCTATGAGATGCAACAGTGTCTATGAGATGCAACAGTGTCTATGAGATGCAACAGTGTCTATGAGATGCAACAGTGTCTATGAGATGCAACAGTGTCTATGAGATGCAACAGTGTCTATGAGATGCAACAGTGTCTATGAGATGCAACAGTGTCTATGAGATGCAACAGTGTCTGACAGATGCAACAGTGTCTATGAGATGCAACAGTGTCTATGAGATGCAACAGTGTCTATGAGATGCAACAGTGTCTATGAGATGCAACAGTGTCTATGAGATGCAACAGTGTCTGACAGATGCAACAGTGTCTGACAGATGCAACAGTGTCTATGAGATGCAACAGTGTCTGACAGATGCAACAGTGTCTATGAGATGCAACAGTGTCTATGAGATGCAACAGTGTCTATGAGATGCAACAGTGTCTATGAGATGCAACAGTGTCTATGAGATGCAACAGTGTCTATGAGATGCAACAGTGTCTATGAGATGCAACAGTGTCTGACAGATGCAACAGTGTCTATGAGATGCAACAGTGTCTATGAGATGCAACAGTG